CATCCTGCCAGAATGTAGTATAACCTATACCCTAAGTAAAGAGAAACAACTCTGGAACATGTGTAATATGTAGCTGGCTGGCTGGCCGGGTGGGTGGGTGGGTGGGAGGGAGGCCGGATGGGTGATTGGCTGACTGAATGTGGCTCTCTCTCTCTCTCTCTGTATCTCTCTCTCTCACAGGTACACGTAAGTAAAGTTATCATACATAGTATAAATTACCTAGGATAACCCAAATAATCCAGACAAGTGCTATACAGTGGATCTGTGCTCCAGTGCCCTAAATTAATAATATTAATAATAATTATTATTATTACAATAATACATATGTACTAATATTAATAATATTATTATTAAACTATAATATAATAATCGTGTCCACTCATTACTTACCTTAAAATATCTGTAGTCTTAATGTAGAGTGAGAGGTGAGTAAACAAGATTAAATAATTAAACGAATGAGTGTGTAGAAGGTTGGCGAGTTATGTAAACAAACGTTGTTGTTGTTACCAGCCCGGACACGAATGATTCCTGTTCACTCTGTCAAGCCGACCAGAAAAACATCTCATATTTGTTAATCTATATGTTTATATGTTATGTAGCATGTTTATTATATAATTTTGAAAAAGAAATCATAGATGGATTAAGCAAAATGTCTATATCAACGTTTTATACACATTTAATGCGCCTCAGTGATTATTATTGTGTTATTATCATTATTAATATGGCATCTTCAAGACCAATTACACTCTTAATGAGTGGCTCTGAGACAGACAAGCAGACAGAAAGACAGACAGGTAGACAGACAGACACTCAGGTAGACACACAGGTAGACACACAGACACACAGGTAGACAAACACACACAGGTAGACATAGACACATACAAGTAGACAGACACACAGGTAGACAGAAAGACACACACAGGTAGACAAAGACACACAGGTATACATAGACACAGGTAGACAGAAAGACAGACACACAGAGATACACAGATATATAGGCAGACAGATACAGACAGGTTTATGTGCAACAGCGAAAACAAATAAAGAGTTCGAGAGTAAGGGCCTTTCTTGCCACAGACTTCATCTTAGGGGCCATGGTGAAATTTACTGTCCAGTTAGTACAGTTAATACAGTATGATGCTGCTGATAGGGCAGGGTTACTCAAACTGATGCTGCCTGCATGATGCATTGCCGCCGCGAGTATTGTCAAATATTGTACAGTGGTGTGCATCAGCCGACCCAGCCCAGCTGCCAGATGCACGGTCGTAAGTCGGATGGTAGGTGTATTTTACTTTTTTGTTTTTTAATGCTTAGTTCTATTCTAGTATTTATATGGATCTAGAGAGTGGTGAGAGAGTGCAAAAGGAGAGTGGGAGAGGCACTGTCAAGAAATTTTAATGAAAATAAGAAAAAATTTTGGAGTGAGTTAAACAAGTTAAGAAAGCCTATGGAAAGTATGGATTTGTCAGTTAAAAACAGAGTAGGGGAGTTAGTAGATGGGGAGAGGGAGGTATTAGGTAGATGGCGAGAATATTTTGAGGAACTTTTAAATGTTGAGGAAGAAAGGGAGGCGGTAATTTCATGCACTGGCCGGGGAGGTATACCATCTTTTAGGAGTGAAGAAGAGCAGAATGTAAGTGTGGGGGAGGTATGTGAGGCATTACGTAGAATGAAAGGGGGTAAAGCAGCTGGAACTGATGGGATCATGACAGAAATGTTAAAAGCAGGGGGGGATATAGTGTTGGAGTGGTTGGTACTTTTGTTTAATAAATGTATGAAAGAGGGGAAAGTACCTAGGGATTGGCAGAGAGCATGTATAGTCCCTTTATATAAAGGGAAAGGGGACAAGAGAGATTGTAAAAATTATAGAGGAATAAGTTTACTGAGTATACCAGGAAAAGTGTACAGTAGGGTTATAATTGAAAGAATTGAAGGTAAGACAGAATGTAGGATTGTGGATGAGCAAGGAGGTTTCAGAGTGGGTAGGGGATGTGTAGATCAAGTGTTTACATTGAAGCATATATGTGAACAGTATTTAGATAAAGGTAAGGAAGTTTTAATTGCATTTATGGATTTAGAAAAGGCATATGATAGAGTGGATAGAGGAGCAATGTGGCAGATGTTGCAAGTATATGGAATAGGTGGTAAGTTACTAAATGCTGTAAAGAGTTTTTATGAGGATAGTGAGGCTCAGGTTAGGGTGTGTAGAAGAGAGGGAGAATACTTCCCGGTAAAAGTAGGTCTTAGACAGGGATGTGTAATGTCGCCATGGCTGTTTAATATATTTATAGATGGGGCTGTAAAAGAAGTAAATGCTAGGGTGTTTGGGAGAGGAGTGGGATTAAATTATGGGGAATCAAATTCAAAATGGGAATTGACACAGTTACTTTTTGCTGATGATACTGTGCTTATGGGAGATTCTAAAGAAAAATTGCAAAGGTTAGTGGATGAGTTTGGGAATGTGTGTAAAGGTAGAATTGAAAGTGAACATAGAAAAGAGTAAGGTGATGAGGGTATCAAATGATTTAGATAAAGAAAAATTGGATATCAAATTGGGGAGGAGGAGTATGGAAGAAGTGAATGTTTTCAGATACTTGGGAGTTGACGTGTCGGCGGATGGATTTATGAAGGATGAGGTTAATCATAGAATTGATGAGGGAAAAAAGGTGAGTGGTGCATTGAGGTATATGTGGAGTCAAAAAACATTATCTATGGAGGCAAAGAAGGGAATGTATGAAAGTATAGTAGTACCAACACTCTTATATGGATGTGAAGCTTGGGTGGTAAATGCAGCAGCGAGGAGACGGTTGGAGGCAGTGGAGATGTCCTGTCTAAGGGTAATGTACGGTGTAAATATTATGCAGAAAATTCGGAGTGTGGAAATTAGGAAAAGGTGTGGAGTTTATAAAAGTATTAGAGGGCAGAAGAGGGGTTGTTGAGGTGGTTTGGTCATTTAGAGAGAATGGATCAAAGTAGAATGACATGGAAAGCATATAAATCTATAGGGGAAGGAAGGCGGGGTAGGGGTTGTCCTCGAAAGGGTTGGAGAGAGGGGGTAAAGGAGGTTTTGTGGGTGAGGGGCGTGGACTTCCAGCAAGCGTGCGTGAGCGGGCTAGATAGGAGTGAATGGAGACGAATGGTACTTGGGACCTGACGATCTGTTGGAGTGTGAGCAGGGTAATATTTAGTGAAGGGATTCAGGGAAACCGGTTATTTTCGTATGGTCGGACTTGAGTCCTGGAAATGGGAAGTACAATGCCTGCACTTTAAAGGAAGGGTTTGGGATATTGGCAGTTTGGAGGGATATGTTGTGTATCTTTATACGTATATGCTTCTGAACTGTTGTATTCTGAGCACCTCTGCAAAAACAGTGATAATGTGTGAGTATGGTGAAAGTGTTGAAAGATGATGAAAGTATTTTCTTTTTGGGGATTTTCTTTCTTTTTTGGGTCATCCTGCCTCGGTGGGAGATGGCCGACTTGTTGAAAAAAAAAAATGAGTGGAAAAAAAGGGGTTCCACTTTACGGTGATTTCCGCTTTACGGCAATAGCCTGGAACCTAACTTGCCTTATAAGTGGGGCCCTACTGTATATTCACTTACTATAAGCTAAGGACAACAATATTTAAGGTAAGTAATGTGTGTACCGTATATGTAATTTTTAGGTCCAGCTCTGTTGCTCACTAAATATGTGATAGTGTAAACATATCATCAGGCTTTTATATGCATTTGAAAGTAAAAAAAAAGGTTATGATTCACTTACAGCGATTTTCACTTTACAACGGTAGCTCGGAATCTAACCTGCTGTATAGGTAGGGCCCACCTATACATGGATGTGTAGTGTGACCTAAGTAGAAGTAGCAAAAGGTATCTTGCATGTTCACGAGACAAAAAAAAAAAAAAAAAAAAAAAAAAAGACAGCAGTCCTACCTTTGTGCAAAATAAATACAGGTTTCCATTTCACACTCGGCAGGACAGTACCTCCCTGGGTGGTTTCTGATAATTCAAAGTACTTCGATTTAATGGCTTTCAGAAATAATGGACATGATCTACTGGGTATATTGATTTCAGAAACAAAAGATAAAAGTCTGCTGGGCATTGTCCTGGCACATAACTGACAAAACGATCTTCAATTCACAAAAGGGGGACTACCTATGATTTACAGAAGATTGAAAATTATATTCTTATATTTAAAGTAAATGGTGTGTTCATGTATGCATAATGTGTTAACATTTGTTTGGTATAGATTATTTAGTAAGGCTATATTTAATAAATTTTCCTTAAGGCTGAATGTAAATTTTTCTTTATCATATTTTGTGTATGTTTATATAAAGAGACCTCACATTTATTTGGTAGAGATTACTCAAGACCAATAGACTAGATTTGTTTTTCTTTAGCCTGAACTGTATGCCCTTGTGGGTTTATTGCTTAGTTTTGATTATAATAAGCTTTAGATTGAATTGCTGTATAACCCCTTTGGGTTTAATGCTTAACAGGATTATATTTAGATTGAATTGCAAATTTCTTCTTGGTTTTTGCATTCACACTATACATTAAATGAATATAGAGAGAGCTCACATTTGTTTGGTAGAGATTGGTCAAGAACTGCAGATTTTAGTAGTTGAAAATTGAATGACAAGGTTGTTGACATGTTTCATGCTATACTAAACTTGTATGTGGGGAGCAGTCTCTGACCCATCCTCCTTGGTGACACTTATCTTTCTGCCCCCATTTTCTCCCATCTCCACCTCTCTCTAGTACTATTAAGTGAAAAAGAACTGAAATGGATGTAAAATATTGGGTAAATATTCTTAGTTAAAAGAAATAGATGAAATTAGGTATGTGCTAATTAGGGGACCTACCATACTGTAGTACATTTTTTGTTCATTTTGTAGCATTCCAGTTTAGCAGAAAATCAGCATTACATGGCAACTGCTCTCCCTATTAGCCCATTAAATATGTGGGGGATCATTCAACATTTGTCTATAGGATATTTATACAATTATTAACATCATAGCCACTTTTATTTTTGTTAATTCTAAGCAATAGTCAAATATTAAGAATTGATTAAGGAGCAAACAACCTGACCATGATTTATCCACTTCAAAACTAAATTATAAACTCAAAAGGTTGCAACTTAAGAACGCATTTTAACCAAGTAGTATCTCGGCCACAAATACTGAGAATAAGGCATCAATATAATTAATGACAAGCATAACAATTGGAAAACATGTCCATAAAAACTATTTCTATAGCAATCTGACTTTGATATAACTATGATATGTACACATATGGTCACTTGAGTCAGCATATCAAGGCTGATTTTAACATTGGTAGAACTGTATGTAACACCCCTTCACTAAAGAAAACTAAATGAGCCCACTGGCTTCATTTAATGATACTTCAACTGGGATACTTATCACATTTAGGGTTTTTCATTTTGCACCATTGACACATGACTACAACGCTTATGCTCATTTTATATGCAAGCTGAAAGAAAAGTAATTTTTTTTATTATACATATCTATACAAATTTGTCTAACCACACGCTGCACTTTAAAACCGAATCTTCCTTTTGATTCAGGTATGTACCACTAGTTAAATTAACAAACTGGATCACCTGTAGTCATGAAATAAAAAATAATTATCTTGTGCATAATCAGCTTGAGCAGAAGACATGCTAACTTCTCTTTCCTCCAAGAATTCATGTACACAATAATCTACCAGGAGCGTATAAAAACTGATAGGGATGTAACAGAGGATGGAATAGAAACAGGCATGTCATCAGCTTTTTTTTTTTTCTGGTATTAACAATACAAATAGATTTGTCCAAGTAAAAAAAACATCCTACACAATTACACCAAGAGTGCTTCTTCCAGCCTCTTCTCCAAAAGTTACACAGCCTTTGACTCAGTGGCGTCAGAAGCATCAGAGTCTTCCTCATCGCTAGGCAAGTCGCTCTCCCCCTCTTGGGTCATTGTGGCCACCAGAGTGCCAACTGCCTTCCCCAGGTCGCCTATAAAGGAAAATATTCTTATGTTAAACATATACTGTTAAGGCAAATAATATTTACCATTCCATAATGACCATGCAACATATTACTGGGTCATTAACTGAAACACTTTTATAGCTTACCATCCTGAACTTCTACTATATGGAGCTGCATGAAAAAAAAAAAAGTCACTTAAACTTTCTATTTATTACTGTAAGATATTGACAATCATCTGATAAAGTATATTGCTGTGCTGTAATGTAAAAGAAATACAGTAAACTATGCATACCCCAGGATTTATTATTCATGAAAGTCAATCAAAAAAATAGAATGTCACTTTTAATCAAAACAGTTTGTAGACAATGGATCATTATTCCTGTTACATTTGCCCAACCATATATTTTAAGGCTATTTTAGAGTTTGCCAGCATGACAAGAATATCTGGTTAATAATGACTTCTTGGTCCCTATTTTTTCCATAAATTATTATATGGTATTTGGTTACATTAAATTTCATCTCCCAGTACATCCAATTGCTCACCCTATCCAAGTCTTGTATGGATTTAATCCACAAAAAAAAAAAAAAATATTCCTCATTGCAAATCATTACTGTACAAACATTAATGGGGCAAGCACAGATTTTTACAGCGCACTATAATTAAAATTACCCCAAGACTACATTTTACCTATCGGATTAGTTAGTCTAAGGTTAAGAGGCAAGACCAAAAGCTATACATAACTCCTTCCCCCATAAATTCAAATATACAAATTGTCTATTATAATGTCTATGGTGCAGTCATTTTTCCATGCAAATTATTTAACTACAAATTCATAAAATACAATTCATGCTTGATTTCATTCTACCTCCCTAGAGGTTTATGAAAAAGGTTCAAATTTTTCTTTTTGTGGGCTATTGTTAGGTTAAGGGAAAGAATACACCTAGCAACATTCTAATTAAAAGCAAATGGAAAAAAAAAGTGCATTCACACTACATATATTAAAATAATTGAGTCATACAATTAACCTTTACAGCTTGCCTAGTCTCTTGTCTAAGCTGTAAAGGTTTAATAGCAAAGTCAAAATATTTAAGCAAATCATACACTAAACAAACACAGTAACAGATACAGCATGAAAATTTCATTCTCTTAATAAATTCCGATCATGCAGTGGTGCCAATTGTACCTGCACGTGAGAAGAGGTTGCCCACATGAGCCACACTTCCCATAGGAGGGGGTGGCGGCCGTACATACTCGCTCATTTGCTCTAACCCATCGTAAGCACTGCTGGCACCTGCTGTGCCACCACAATAGATAGAGTCCAACACCATGTTAGTATGATGCCCCAAGTCTCACTTTTACAAGGGCACATCACCATGAAAGGGCATATACAAAACTTACATACTTCTTTGAGATTCTCTCCAATTAAAATATATTTAAAAAATCTACATTTCAAATAGAACAGTTATATGTACAGTAAAAATAACTTTGAGTTTTCTTTATAATTTAGGCATATGTGCAGCTTAATATGTAAATGTTTCTCACCTTGAGTTGAGTGTCCATTGATTTTAGCAGGAGAGTCCATGGCCAACTGGCTAGCAGTAACTGACTTGGTTTGCAGAGTTCCTGACTTGCTAGGTGAACTCATGCCACCAGGCTGAAAAAAAAAAAAAAATATACACATTCCTGACATAATTACATTCTAAATGGGGTTATATATACTTGCACCTTTATTTGGGGGTCTGTTGTTTTGCTAGATCAGTAAAAAGAAGATCCGTTTCAGAGCAAACTTTTGTTAGGACTCTCTTGCTCCATGAAATTTTATCATGTCTTGATAAAGATCTACACAGTGACACACTGTCCCAATAAATCTTGTTTTGCAATGTATCTTTACTTCACCATTGATGGTAATATGCCATTTGGATCCATATATTTCATCTGCCTTGTAGATAAATTAGACACATGTGCAACTCTTGGGTATCTTTATTGAGGAAATGTTTTGCCACACAGTGGCTTCATCAGTCCATACATAGGAGAAACTTGAAGAATGGGGTAATCAGTCCCTCAACCTTGAGTCGATGTGGTCAGTCCATCAATCTTGAATAGAATACGGAATATGTGCGGAGAAACAGCTTATAAACCATAGGCAGGAGAGGTGCAGCAGTCGTAGGTGGTGTCACATTTGTCCAATGTGGAAGTAGGTTGTGCCCAAGGGTTAGGCAATACTTGTGAATTCTTTGCTTGCCTAACCCTTGGGCACGACCTACTTCCACATTGGACAAATGTGACACCACCTATGACTGCTGCACCTCTCCTGCCTACGGTTTATAAGCTGCTTCTGCGCACATATGCCGTATTCTATTCAAGATGGATGGACTGATTACTTCATTCTCTTCCTGTTCTTCAAGTTTCTCCTATGTATGGACTGAAGCCACTGTGTGGTGAAACGTTTCCTCAATAAAGATACCCAAGAGTTGCACACGTGTCTAATTTATCAACGTGTCAGTTCTCTGAACCTTTCATCTGCAATCTGCCTTGTAAATTATTATATTGATGGGGAAGTGTTGAACCTGTAGGATTGACATCATACAGTGCTTAAGGAGTGAAAAACAATCAACTTTGTCACATTTTATTGTTATTGGAAAAAATTTCCATGGAAATGCCTTAAAAAGGCAGTAAAGGGGCTCTTGTTCCAAGGAATCTGAGCTACCCTCCCTGTTTTTTTAACTGACTCATTGCCATCTATTTCCTAACTAGCCATATAACCCCTATTGGTGTAGTACTCACCCTTGAAAGAAAATGCTGTATACCTGTCAGCATGCATATGGCTGTAAACACTATATATGGAGTGTCAGATGGACAAGACAAAGGATAAACTTGTCAGCAAAGTATTTATTAAGAATGACTAAACCCTCAATAAAATAAGCTACATGTATTAACCCTTTCACTGAGCTGCGAGTTGTAAATTTTGGCATAGATATGAGAGAATGAGTCTTTGCAGCAAGTATGCACAGTATAAAAATAAAAATCCTGCCCCCATGTGGTGCATGATAGGGAAAACTAAACTCTGACCATGTGTTTGAGGTGTTTTCTAGGATGATTTTTATAATATTAGATAAAATGGAAAGCATAATATTGAAATATAGATAATTTTGGTTGGGTTTTCAGGACTGGAAGCTTGAAACTGGGTTCAAAGTAACAAAAATGGTTTATTTTTCCCAATCTTCCTGAGGATGGGTAAGACCTCCCCCTGCCAGTTTTATAGATTTTTAATAAGTCTGATTCAATTATTGAGATGCTGTAAACCATGACCAATCATTCCCAGTTATATTTTTATCTGAAAAGTAGAGTAAATTTTCTATTGTCGTGTGATTACGAATTCAAAACGGAAACCAAGAGTAATATAGGATTGGCCTAGGATGTAATTAATAAAGAAGAAATGTCGTTTTAGTGCCAGGAATGTCTACAATGTTTATTCTGCACTATTTTTGAATTGGTAGTTTTTTAATTGTAAAATTGGCCAAATTACCAACTTCTGTGCACTTTACAGGGTAGTTGGGCAGCTGTTGTGCTCAATCACTAGAACGGAAGGCATATTAGCAAAATAGTTAATACAAATAAAAGTAGGTGAAATCACTAATGCATAAATTACGCATCATTCTGTAAGTTTTCCATTAACCCTTTTAGGGTTGGTGCTGTACTAGTACGCATAAATTCTAGCACCTTCAAATCTAGCGAGAGAAAGCTGGTAGGCCTACATTTGAAAGAATGGGTATATGTGGTCAGTGTGCACAGTATAGGAGAAAAAAAAAAAACTCAGACCGTGTTTTTTGGTTTAAAACAGCGACTTTGCAGTGTATTTTCGTATGCTATTTATAGTTGTATTCTAGTTTTCCTGGTCTCATTTTATAGAATGGAAGACATATTACGGAAATTTCAATGATTTTTATCGGTTTCACAATGAAAAGTACAGTGGACCCTCGATAATCATAAGGTTCGAAAGTCATAATTTTCGAAAATCGTAACGTTATTTTCGTCAAAACGTTGACTCATGAATCGTCGTTTGACTCACAAATAGTTGTTCATCTGGGACACGTACACACAGCCCCGAGCCGCCTCACACTCCATTCCCAGCCAGTGTTTATCAGTGAGTGAGGATGATCCCACGAGTTCATATTATTCATAATATTCCATTCGTTTTAGTGCTTACAACTGCTAAGTAAGTCACCATGGCTCCAAAGAAAGCTTCTAGTGCCAGGTCTTTGGTAAAAAATGTGAGAAACACATAATTTAAGAAAAAGTTTGTAGAAAAATACGAAGGTGGTAGTGATAGTGGTGCCTTCTTCAGTGATTCTACCAACTCCAATGTTGTTGGAGTTATATAGGGCTACAGAAAGCACCGCCACCTCAGCTGCTGCTTCACCAACATTATGGACGGCTTATGCTCTCAGTGGCCCTTATACAACCAACAACACCTCTTTTGACATTCATGACTTATTTTATTTTTAGAGTATATTCCATGTTTCTATGTTATTAATATTGTTTATTGTGTCATTTTAGTTGAATTGTGATAGATAAATAAGCAGTAGAGTTGATATTAGTGTCATATTCTCCAACAATAAACTCGCCTCCCCTCCCTCTGCCATACACCAACAGAAGTCTTCAGTAAAGGCAAGTGTAATATTAAATGTTCATTTATACATTTTATTAGTGCTTTACATTTATTTGGCATTCTTTTCTGCATGTAAATCTATATTTAAGCTAGGGAATGACCCCTGAAGTGACCTAGAGTCCTTATGGAGGGGGGGTCCCCCTTCCAAACAATAACCTCTCTCCTCCTCCCTGTCTTCCATTCATCAACAACGACCTTCAATAAAGGTAACTCATGTTGAATGTTCATTCCTTTGTGCATGTAAATCTATCTTTAAGATTAAAAAAAAATTGTTGTTGATACTTCTGGCTGTCTGGAATGAATTAATTGGATTTACATTATTTCTTATGGGGAAAATGGATTCGCAAATCATCAATTTCGATAATAGTCACGCTCTCTGGAAATGGATTAATTACAAAAAATGAGGGTCCACTGTTCCTTGAAATTGAGCTCAAAGTAGCAGAAATGTTCGATTTTTGCCAAAGTTCAAAAGTAAATAAATCAAGCCATGCGTCCAATACACGTCAACTGGCGAGTCTAATATTCTTTCACAACTGTGCTGATATTACTTATACCATTTCTACACTAATGCAGTAGTCTGCTTAACAGTAAATCTTCTATTTTTTGTGAGAATAAAAATTCGAAGTGGAAAGCAAAAGAAATGTAACAGAGGCCTGGGGATGTAACTAATGAACAGAGGAATGTCTGTCTTGTTTATTCTGGACCCTATTTGGAAACTGGCATCTTTTGAAATTTGTGAAATTGGCAAAATTGCAAATTTCAGAACACTTTATTGGATAGCTGAAATCGGTAAATGGGTGGTTTCTTGTACTCATTCGATAGAAAAAATGGAGTTTTAGCGAAATAGTTATGATTTTTCTTGACTGGTACATTGGAATTGGCCAAAAATAGGACTCAAAGTGGGCGAAATCGCCGATGCTAAACATTGTTGAGACCGCTAACTTTGCAAGAGCATAATTCCCAAAGTTTTCAATCAAATTTCATTCTTTTGGTGTCATTATGATTGGGAAAAGATTCTCTATCATTTCACAAGAAAAAAATTTTTTTTTTTCGAAAAATTTCCGACCCTGAGAACAAGTTTAGGAGAGGGCCTGCCGATCCTGAAAGGGTTAAACTGACAAAAAAATTCTCTGCCATTTCAAAGGATTGTTTTTTAACTGAATACTGGGAGCAAAATCAATTTCAGGGTTCTGGACTGTGAAAAGATGAAAACAACTGGGTAAATTGTACAATAACTCCTGATTTCACTTTCAATGTTCATGGCACTGTATGGCTTTTTTGGGTTTAGTGCTTAATTTGATTACATTATCACCATTTCAATTAACTACCATTATATTAGGTATGCAGCAGTTTAAGTCCTATTTTTTAACATTCTGATTTAACAGACACTGAGAATCTCCTTTAAGCCACTGGATCAAGGATTTACTGTAGGCAGCATGCTAGCTCATACTAGGCTGCTCCCATGAATTTAATAATGGAAGATTTAAAAAAAAAAAAAAAGGGTTATGGAGTAAAGGGTCAGTAACCCCTTCTCCTGTATAAATTACTTTCAGGTCACCCTGCCTCAGTGGGATACAGCTGGTTCATTGAAAAAAAAAAAAAAAAAAAAGTTCGTGATATACAGAGGTACATAAAAACATGTGTTGTACTACATTTGACTTGCCTCTCCTAATAACTGCCGCAATCGATGAAGCTGAGCCTCAAGTTGCCTGTTATGTTCTTCTAAGATGCCCATTCGAGCCTCAAGGCGTCCCTTATGCTGTCTCAGGAGCTTTGCTTCAGCCAACATATCTGCTTCCGAACGCTGACCACCAAGACCATCATCAGGAGGAGATCCAACAGGTTGCTGGGACTTGAGGCGATCATATTCTGCCTGAAGTACACTGTTCTCCTCCTCAAGGGCCCTGGCAAAAAAACAAATAAATCATTGCAATTTCTTTTTTATCACTGGTAATTGTAATGGAATACAATATGACTACTGTGCACAATGACTGAGCCATACTGTTTATGCTTTCCATACCTTGTACTAATGCAAATCTGGTGCCACTATAACTTAAAAAAATTTACTTTATAGTGATAAATTTCAATTATTTATGTTATTTTCATGGGAAAGTACTAAACCAGTACATGTATAGCTTATAGAATGCTAGGGGAATGGGAGGCAATCCAATTCATTGGATCAAGGCATCCCTACCCCCTTAATAAGTTTGGATGGAAGAATGAACTCAAAATGAGCACAGAATACAAATAGATAGTGCCATCACTTAGAATATAAGAAATAGGTAAAAGACTTAAGAATACAGTAATAATGTCTGATATGTTAAGAAAACAAAAGAGCAAATGCAGAAGTGTTGGAAAATGAGAACATTAAAATGGAAGATAATACCAATGGTTTTACTATTAGATCACTTGTGTTCTTATGTCTTGAAATGCTGCTCTGAGCCCACAGCTCTGTTCAAAACACAGCAGGAGAGATATCAGAGCTGGAAAATGTGCAGAAATTGTTTACTGCCCACCTGAAGTCAATAAAACAGTTATACAGTGGAACCTCTGCTTACGAGTGCCCCATCATGCGAGTTTTTCAGGATACAAGCCATCGCTCAGTCGGTTTTTTGCTCCTGGATACGAGCCAAAATTCAGATTGTGAGCTTTTCCTGATGCTGGTGAGGAGCTCTTGATGTAGGGAATTATATCTGTGCTCCAGTTCCCTAAATTAAGCTTGAATACCTTCCATTCCCCCCCCCCCCACAGGCACTGTATAATCCTATGGGCTTAGTGCTTCCCCATTATAATAATAACAAGTGAGCTTGAGAATGCCACAACGAATACCACAACAACATTCACCATCACCAATGCACGTGCTTACCTCGTGGTGGAAGGATTTCTCTCGTGTTTTGCTTACGTTTTGTGCAGTTATTTTGCCAATTTTCTTTTTTCTAACCATGGGTGCTTAGAGAGTAAGTGCAAAGGACAGTGCTAAGAAGAAAAAGAGGATAATGTCTATGGAAATAAAGCATGAAGTCATAGCTAAACCAAGTGAGGTGTGCAGGAATTCCACTGGAACGGGTTATGAACTAGGTCACGGAGTGGACTGAACTTGCAAGCAGAGGTTCTGCTGTATTACTGGGAATGCCATCTAATATTTGAAATGTACTTTTTTGGAGTGAAGAGGAGATACCTGATATACATATACACCTAAAAGGTGTTGGGAGGACCAGGTGCCAAATCTACACTGATGTGGGATATGATTTTTAATGCCTCATGTCCTTAATCCTTTAAATTTAAACAAAATGTACTTTGACCCGTAACATTGGCTGTGTCACCAGTCTGGGCGTTTAAGCAACCGTCAAGTTATGGGAGGGTCACAAAGTTAATGCATGAAGGCTCAGGTCAACATGACACAGGTAGTTTGGGCAGTTATGATTGGCCCAGGATTAGGTGGTGTACAGGAAGTGAATGCTGATCAGCTTAGGTACAAGAAAATAGCATCAGAGGTCACAAAAGACATACAACTGCCCATTTGGAGATTGCTGAAGAGAGGATGACTGAGAACCTATTTGTTCCCCAAGAGTCTGTCTGGCCTTGTATGTCCCCTGCATCTGACTGTTTTAACTGTAGAATAACTATGCTGTTGTATTTAGTGATTTAAGGAAGTTAATAGGCTAATAAGCAATGGGAATAATTTTGACTTTTCCCCTATTACATTTAAAGTAAAAATTATGAGTCTAAGCTTACTCAGTGGGACCAGCTACTGTATGGTGTCAAGTCGTGTAAGTAATGAGAGTATAAGGAGGCCAACATCACCAATATACATATAGATGTGTATCAGCCCAGACAGAGTATTATGAGGTGGCAGCAACCTTAGGCTATACTAAGCCTAAGCATCTCACCAGTGAAATGCAGTCTGCAACTGGGGTAATTAACCTCACTATGCAGCACTACCCTAAGCTTATGGCATGAGAGAGATGGAAGTGCAAAATACGTCCAGTGAACAGTAGGTGCACCATAGGCACAGTAAAAGAGACTAAGTATCCATGGCCCCAAGCTAAATTCTGCTGTCAGAAGATATCAGAAATATTGCCAGAACAATGTTGAAGTCTTCAAGAGGAAACTCGATGACTACCTCTGCCAGGCTTGAAATCAATTAGCTTGTAATGGCTATGTGAGTCAGCAAGCAGGCTAACACCAATAGCCTGGTTGAATAGGCACTTAGTAAGGAAGCCTGGATAAAGGCTGGGCTGGTAAGGTAGAAAAATTCCTCGAAATCAGTCGCAAATATATAGATAGTGATGTTAATCCTAGGTAGTAGGTTGGTAGACAGCAACCGCCCAGGGAGGTAGTACCGTCCTGCCAAGTGAGTGTAAAACGAAAGCCTGTAATTGTTTTACATGATAGTAGGATTGCTGGTGTCCTTTTTTATGTCTCATAAACATGCAAGATTTCAGGCACGTCTTGCTACTTTACTTACACTTAGGTCACACTACACATACATGTACAAGCATATATATACACACACCCCTCTGGGTTTTCTGCTATTTTCTTTCTAGTTCTTGTTTATTTAATCTTATCTCCATGGGGAAGTGGAACAGAATTCTTCCTCCGTAAGCCATGCGTGTTGTAAGAGGCGATTAAAATGCCGGGAGCAAGGGGTTAGTAACCCCTTCTCCTCTATATATTACTAAATTTAAAAAAGAGAAACTTTTGTTTTTCTTTTTGGGCCACCCTGCCTCGGTGGGATACGGCTGGTTTGTTGAAAGAAGAAGTGATGTTAATATGTTAGTATTGCACTCTTGGAATAAATTACTCCAACTACATTTCACCTATATGAGGAAGCACCAATCAGGCAAAGATGGAAAGAAAGTAAAAGAATATAAGAAAGAAGGAACATTGCAGCAGGCCTACTGGCCCATGCAGGGCAGGTCCAAGTCACCCCTTGGCTTAAACCAATGACCCACCTAGTCAGGTCAGGTCACATCCACTTAAGGAAGGAACATGGCATCAGGCATATTAGCACAAGTTAGTCAGGTCCAACTCAAACCCACACACACATGTATTTATCCAAACCATTTTTAAAAGTACACAGCTTCTATGACTCACCCACAACTCTATTACCAAACCCGTGCTTTCCTATATCCTTCCTGAATCTGAATTTTTCCAACTTAAAACCATTGCTGCGAGTCCTGTCTTGACTAGATATTTTTAACATGCTATTTACATTCCCTTTATTTATTCCTGTTTTCCATTTATACATTTTTTTTTAACATTTCGGCTGTTTCCCACCATGCCAGGGTGACCCAAAAAGAGAGAAAAAACTTTCATTATTCAACACCTTCACCATCACTCATACATAATGTCTTTGCAGAGGTGCTCAGATACAACAGTTTAGATGTCCCTCCAAACTGCCAATATTCTAAACCCCTCCTTTAAAGTACAGGCATTGTACTTCCCATTTCCAGAACTCAAGTCTGGCTAACCAGTTTCCTTGAATCCCTTCACAAAATATTACCCTGCTCACACTCCAACAGCTCATCAGGTCCCAAAAACCATTCGTCTCCATTCACTCCTATCTAACACACTTGCTGGAAGTCCAAGCCCCTTGCCCACAAAACCTCCTTTACCCCCTCCTTTCCAACCTTTTTGGGGATGACCCCTACCCCGCCTTCCTTCCCCAACAGATTTATACACTCTCCAAGGCACTTTACTTTGTTCCATTCTTCCTACATGACCAAACCACCTCAACAGCCCTCTAACTAATAATTTTATTAACTCCACATCTCTTCCTAATTTCCACACTATGAACTCTCTGCATAATATTTACACCACACAGTGCCCTTAGACACGACATCTCCACTGCCTCCAGCAGCTTCCTCACTGCAGCATTTACAACCCATGCTTCGCACCCATATAAGAGTGTTGGTACCACTATACTCTCGTACATTCCTTTCTTTGCCTTCCTGGATAATGTTCTTTGGCTCCACAGATACCTCAATGCACCACTCACCTTTTTTTCTTCATCAATTCTATGGTTTACCTCATCCTTCATAAACCCATCTACTGACCTCAATCATATCCCTCCTAATTCTACGCCTTTCGAGAGAGTGCAGATTTAAGGCCCTCAGTCTATTCTCATAAGGAAGATTTCTGATACATGGGATCAACTTTGTCATCCTCCTCTGTATGTCTTTCAATGCATTTATATCCAATCTGTAATACGGTGACCAGAACTGTACAGCATAATCTAAATGAGGCCTAACTAAAGATATATAGAGTTGAGGAACAACCTGAGGACTCCTATTATTTATGCTCCTTGATCTGAAGCCAAGGATTCTGTTCACTTTACTGCAAACACTTATGCACTGTTGTCTTGGTGTTAGATTACTGTTAACCAGAACTCCCAAATCCTTTTGGCAATCAGTAATACAGTATTAAGATCTACATTATTTAGTTATGTGGCATAGTTATTTTCTTGGCCAATGTTTAGAACATTGTATCTGCCACTTCTCCGACCACTGCATCAGTCTATTCAAATCTTCCTGGAGTGCTCTAATGTCCTCATTAGAATGAATTAGGTGACCTATTTTGGTGTCATCAGCAAACTTGTTTATGTTGCTATTTATTCCCTCATCAATGTCATTTATATAAATTGTGAACAACAAAGGGCTCAACACTGACCCCTGTGGAATACCACTCGTGACACATCCCCACTTTGATTTCTCCATATTGATGCAAACTCTTTGCTGCCTATCTGTCAACCACGCCTCTACCCAGGAAAATTTTTTTCCTCCTTTTCCATGTGCCTTAATTTTCCTCAATAGCCTTTAATGTGGAACTCTATCAAAAGCCTTACTTAAGTCCATATACACAATATCATATTCATTACCAAGCTCTACCTCTTCAAAAGATGTACAGTCCCCATCCTTTTATCCGAAATTCAGAAATTCGAAAGGTTCCGAAAACCGAAGTTTTTTCGTGGAGGTGTACAAATGGCAAACAGGAATGAATAAAGAGGATGTAAATAGGATGCTAAAAATATCTAGCCTAGCCTAGACCTGACTAGCTTGTGCTACTAGGTCAGATGCTGTGCTCTTTCCTTGGTTGGATAATCATATTAGGTTAGATAAACACATGAGTGAGAGGGGTTGGATTTGAGTGGGACTTGCACATGAGTAAATAGAATTATAAGAACATAAGAATGGAGGAACACTGCAGAAGGCCTACTGGCCCATACAAGGCAGGTCCTTATCAAAACCACCATTACCCAAAGCTACCCAAAAATTTACTTGGTAGCTTTGGGTAACCCAACATAATTTTCAATGCTTCCCAAGCAATAAGCTTTTCCAACCAGGAATCGAGTTTGTCTAAATCATCCTTTAGTTCCATGATATCTACATTTGAATCAATTATCCTACCTATGGTTGGTAGGTAAGACACATAGGCAACATTATTCTGAAACCTTTTGCCTACACAGTAGGCTTCTTCAGACTTGTAGATGAATGGTTCTTCAGACTTATATACTGTCGGAAGGTGTTTTCTCTTCTGTACCAAGATGCCATTATGTTGCAGTATCTGACAGAGTGAACATCAAAATGGTATACAATAAGAACAGGTTGGTAGGTACGACACATAGGCAACAGTTAGGCAACTTTATTCCAAAACGTTTTGCCTGCTGTGTTCTTATAATTCTATCTACTCATGTGCAAGTCCCACTCAAATACAGAGAGACTGCTTAGACAGATACCTATGTTAATGAGACAGATGACACTTGAAGAAGTCTTTAAAAATGCCATCTGTCATAGTGCTACTTCACTTGAGAATCATGTAAATAAACCGTAGTAGTATTGGTAGTCTTTATTTATCCCACTTAGTGTGAGTATTCATACATTTTTGCTGCGGTGTTAATGATTGATTATGAGGTGCTACCCTAGACCCCCACCTTCATTCTGAAATTCAAAACACTGCACTGCTGGCCCCAAGGTTTCGGATAAAGGGATGGGGACTGTAGAATGACAAATCTGGTATAATACCTTCACTCAGTAGTGTCACACGTAACAAGTAGAACAGTTTTACTACATTGGTAGAATGCCTCCAGTTGTGTTTCAACCATTTCATATACTAGTTGTAAAATACTACCCCAAGAACCATCACAAAAACTTCTTTTTGTAATAATTAGAGTAAATTTGTTGCCTTTGAATATTAAGTCTTGTCAATTGCCTCCTGCAGTATAACTATGATTCAAGCAGGGTTTTAAGGATATTTAATTATGTTAAAAAATATGCTGCTGATCTCCGTGGGGAAGTGGAACAGAATTCTTCCTCCATAAACCATGCGTGTCTTAAGAAGTGACAAAAATGCTGGGAGCAAGGGGCTAGTAACCCTTTTTCCTGTATAAATCACTAAATTTTAAAAGAAAAAACTTTCATTTTTCTTTTTGGACCACCCTACCTCAGTGGGATACTGCCAGTTTATTGAAAGGAAAAAGATATACTGCTGCAATAAACTTTAATTACTATGAAATTTTTTTTGCAGAGGCCAACACCTAATTATCTTAATTCCAGAATAAAGTACTGTACAAGACAAATTTTGAAGGTTTCTATATCCCACTACAGCAAAATGTTGAAGATATAACTAACCTTATCATTTGTTCCAATTCATCTTTCTGTTCAGCATCAACAGCAGCCATGATCTGCAGTGGTGACCTTGGCACAGGTAGAGGGGCATCAGAAGAACTTAGGGACTGGCAGTACTGTGCAATCAATCCATGTTCATCCTCACTAATGAAACAAATGATTGATTAATTTTTACAATAAAATATCTGATTACAGTAGTAATCATAATTTTTTGTAACTAAATACATATTGTTATTACTTTCAATATAATGTACAATACTGTATTTTTTCCTATGACATATCACAGTACTACTACTTACCTATCAGGTGTAGAATTTGAGTTTGTTCTTAGCTCGACCTCGGCCAGACGAGAAGCGTACAATTCTAGACGAGAGTGCATATCTTGACTGGTAACATTGTGCTGAGGGGATGGTGAGGGTGACTCTAGTGGATCACCCTTAAGGAATATTGAATTATTAACACTTCTGTTATTATCTCACACTACTTAATGCATAAAGTAATGTTTTGATAATACTTAGCCCTTACAAATAGCTTTAATCAAGTCCTCAAACTAACACTGGTAAATTGTTACTATTATCAACTTTGTGAGTAAGAAATACAAATGTGATTTTTTCAAGTTTTCTTACCTCCAATACAGTTTGAACTGGCAGATAGCCCTTCTTCGTATGCTTCTGCAGAGATCTTTTAGATTTGAATTTGTTCTTGAGTGCTTTTGTGAAATCTTTCACGTCCTCACCAGCAGTAGTCTGTAATTTATTACAATCATTAATCATGCTGTACTGATTTTGGTAAAATTTCAACAATAAAGATGTGTTACATTTATTTTTCCCAAAAACATTGGCTGTCTCCCACTAAGGCAGGGTGGCCCAAAAGAAGAAATGCTTTCACCATCATTCACTCTACCAATGTCTTGCCAGAGATATGCCAATACTACAGTTCAGATGCCCCTCCATGCTGCAAATATCCCCACCCTTCCTTCAGAGTGCAGGCACCATACTTCCCACATCCAGGACTCAAGTCCAGCTAACCATTTTCTCTGAATCCCTTCACAAAATGTTAATTGATCATACTTCAACAGCTCGTCAAGCCCCAAGAACCATTTGCTTCCGCTCCTATAAGCTAACACATGCCTACTGGATGTCCACACCCCTCACTCACAAAACCTCCTTTACCCCCTCCCTTCACCCTTCCATCCACTAAATATTTATACTCACTCCATGTCATCCTACTTTGTTCCATCCTCTTTAAATGTCCAAACCACCTCAAGAAACCCTCCTCAGCCCTCTAGATAATACTTTTGTTAACCCCACACCACCACCTAATCTCCAAGCTACAAATTCTCTGCATAACTTTTACACCATACATTGTCCTCAGACATGACATCACTGCCTCCAGCCTCTTCCTCACTGTCAACATTCACAATCCATGCTTCACACCAATATAAGTGTGTTGGTACTATTATACTCTCATAACTTTCCCTTTCTGCCTCCAGGGATAACATTCTTTATCTCAATACACCACCCTCCTTTTTCACCTCATCAATTTAACAGTTAGCCTCATCTTTCATATACCTTTCCACTGACAAATCCACTCCCAAATATCTGAAGACTCGCTTCCTCCATACTCCCTCCTTCCAATCTTTCATTACCTAGATTGTTATCCTCATCACCTTGCTCTTTCCTATGTTCAATTTTAATTTCCTTAATTTACATACCCTCTTAAATTCATCCACCAACCTTTGCAACTTCTCTTCAGAATCTCTCAAAAGCACAGTGGCATTGGCATAAAGCAACTCTGACACTCCCATTTTTATAGATTCTGCATATTTTAATCCCAAACTTCTTCCCAATACCCTAGCAGTCACTTCTTGTAACCCGACCTGTAAATATGTTAAACAACCATGGTGACATCATGAATTCCTGTCTAAGGTCTAATTTTACTGGAAAATAATCTCCCTATCTCTTAACTGCTTTCAGAAATCTTCCACCTATTCCATACACTTAATATCTGCCACACTGCTCCCCTATCCACTCTATCATGTCTTTTGTAAATTCATGAATGCATCAAAAACCTCCTTACCTTTATCTGTATATTGTTCATATATATGACAAAGTAAACACTTGGTTTGCACATCCCCCCTACCCTTCCTAAACCCTCTTTGTTCATCTGCAATCCTGCTCTCCATCTTACCCTTAATTCTTTCAATAATAACTCTACCATACACTTTATTTGGTATACTGAACAGGCTTATTTCCCTATAATTTTTACACTATTTTGTCCCCCTTTTCTTTATGCTAAGGAACTATGTATGCTTTTTGCCAATCCCAAGGTACCTTCCTGTCTTTCATACAGTTATTGAACAAAAGCACAAACCTCACCAAAACTATATCTGCACCTGCTTTTAACATTTCTGTCTTGATCCCATCAATCCCAGCTGCTCTACCCCCTTTCATTTTACACACCTGCTCACAAACTTGCTATCAGTGTCGAATTTAAAAAAAAAAAAAAAAAAAGTTTTCTTATGAAATGATAGAGGATATTTTCCCAATGATAATGACACCAAAAGTAAGAAATTTGATGGAAAATTTACGGAATTACACTCCCATGAAGTTAGCAGTCTTGGCAATATTTACACATCAGCGATATTGCCCAATTTGAGCCCTATTTTCGGCCAATTCAATTGTTCCAGGCCATCAAACTCATAGCTATTTCACTAGAACTCCATTTGTTCTATCAAATGAGTTCAAGAAACTGCCCATTTACTGATTTTAACTACCCAATAAAGTGATCAGAAATGGGTAATTCGGCCAATTTCATACACAATTCAAGAAAGGTCATTTTCAAAATAGAGTCCAGAATTAACAATGCAAACATTCCTAGCACTAAAATAATATTTTCTCTGTTCATTAGTCATATCTCCAGGCCCCTCTTATATTAAACTTGCTTTCCATTTTGAATTTTTATTCACACAAAAAATAGAAGATTTACTGTTATGCAGACTACTACTACATTGTAAAAATGGTATAAATAATATCAGCACATCTGTGAAAGCATATTAGATCCACCAGTTGTGTATTGGACGTATGATGTGATTTGTTCACTAATGAACATCAAAAATCGAACATTTTCGCTACTTTGAGCTCAATTTCAAGGTACTTTTATTCCATAAACCATTCAAAATCATCTCAATTTCTATAATATATCTTCCATTCTATCAAATGAGACCAAGATAATGAGAATACAACCATAAATCCTATACGAAAATACACCACAAAGCCGGCATTTTTCTTCATTATGCACTGAGTGCCGCAGTGCATACTGATCACTCAGACCCATTCTCTCATATATAGGCCTACCAGCTTTCTCCTGCAAGATTGGAAGCCGCTAGAATTTTGGCATAGTATTACGGGACCGACACTGACATGCAAGCTGTAATATTACGGGGCCGACAGTGAAAGGGTTAATATCTATTTTATTCTCCATATACGTACTCTAACCTCTTTATATCACTTCTGCTTCGTAAAAACCTCTCGTAACTTTTTCTGCCCTACTACTCCCTTTGTCATCACTCCACCAATTGCTCCTTTTTCCTCCCACACCTACCTTCCTATATCCACAAACTTCTGCTGCACTCTCACACTGCATTCTTAAATCTACCTCATAGCTCTTCAACCTAATTACCTATACTCTCATTAGCCAATCTTTCTCCCAACAGTTGCTTATATCTTACTTTAACTACCTCCTCCTCTAATTTAAAAACTTACACTTCTTCCTTACTCACTGATGCCATTCTCCTTGTACTCCATCTACCTTTTACTCTCACTGTAACTACCACTAAATAATGATCTGATACATCTGTTGTCCCTATATAAACATGCACATCCAGAAGCGTACCCATCAACCTTTTATCCACCAATACACAGTCCAAACTATTGTCATTATGCCCTATATCATATCTTGTATACTTATTTTTCTATTTTTTTAACATGTAATACCTATTAACAAACAACATTCAAAGGCCCCCCATTATCATTTACCCCTGGCACCCCAAACTCACCTACTACGTCCTCTACAACAGTTGCTCTCGCTTTATCATTTAGGTCCCCCACCACAATTACTCTCTCATTTGGTTCAAAACTCCCTAAACTCTCAGCATCTCCCAAAATATCTCTCTCCTCTTCACTCTTCCAGGTTCATAAACACTTAGTATGTATAACCCACTTTGCATCAGACCCTTATTTTAATCCACACAGTTCTTGAATTTATACTCCCTCTTTCCTGTCATAACTGATCCTTCAACATTATTACTACTCCATCCGTAGCTCTAACTCTCTCAAATACCCCTGACTTAATCCCATTTATTTCTTGCCCTTGAAAAATTCCTACCTCCTTCGGCTATGTTTCACTTATGGTCACTAATACTAACCGCTGTGCAATATTCATGCATAGGGTGTGTAATCTTGTGGCTCTTGCCACTTCGCCCATCAAAGAAACACCGCTGACACATATCAAAGCTCAAGCACTTCAGACAGCGGTATCTCAGGCCAATGATTGGGCAAGCTTTACAAATGTTGCATTTAACCTGTAAGAAATTTAAATTCATTGATAAAGTTTATCTTTATTTACAAATTAATTATATTAGATTTGTTGACTAATAATAAAATATTGTAAACTTGGGCTTTTTATATACAGTATAACATATGAATCAAGTATAGATTTGGATACTTTACTGTTCATTCTCAATAACACTTTCATACCTGATGTTGAATGCTCTCTGAAGCAGCAACACGATGTAGAACTGCTAGCCACACAAGTGACTGTGGTTCCTGCTGCACCCATGTCAAGAAATGCACAGCCTGTGAAATAATAATTAAATTTGGATTTTGTAAAAAACAGCATGAAGGCAAAATGGTTACTGCACAAGTTCGAAGAGTATATTTAAATAGAGCATCATGAAGGCTTCTCTCTTTATAGCTAGGGCTTGCAAGAAATTTCTTGGGGAAACTAGGCTTATATAACATATTAATAGAACAATGATTACTTGGTTATTAATTGAACCTTGGAACTCTGTGGGGGCAGAGAGCTGGTACAGTACCTCACTCACATTAGCCTACATTTATTTGTATAATTCGAACTTATTACTACAGTAACATGTTTAATTATATTAAAAATCAGATCTTACCTCAATTGTTTCTCTATCTTTCCCAGCCTTAGTAAAGCAACTGCGTACAGATGGCTCAATATTAGACCCACCAAATGCAGCTACCTCCCCAAGCTGACGAGGAACTTGTACACAATCGTGCAGCAATAGACCAAGCTTCCTCTGATCCACAAGGCGGTTTGGATCCGCAATCAAGCGGAACATGTCTGAAATGTATCCAGAATCCTTTAAAAACTGCAACGTAATTTTCTGCTACTATTATAAAAAGCTATTTTTTTTATTATGAACGCTTCTATATACATGTATTTTACTCAGCACATTATTTTTGTATGGATGACAGATGACAAAAAAAAAAAAATTTTATTATTACATTTCAATTACATGTGACTTTGGCAAGCTTTTATAATGCTACCTCCAGCAGGTGAAGTGCTGTTATAGTTGGTAACTCTACCAACATTATTATGAAATGCTGTTATAACAAAAGGTCTTTTGCCATACATGGATTTTCTACATACAGGAAGGCCCCGCTTTACGGCGTTTCACTTTACGGCGTTCCGCTAATACGGACATTTCAAATTATGACCAAAACTCGCTATACGGCTCCCCCCACCTGACTTTTTAATACGGTCACCGTGCCCCACCCTGTTTGTTTACATTCTCCATGAGCTCAGTAAGCACTAAGTCTCTCCATTTTGTCTGGAAACTCCAAAATTTCAAATCTTTTTAAAAGTTATTTCATATTTTATATATACTCTGATAATTAACTTATGTATACCTGTACCTAAATAAACTTACATACGGGTGCTGCATTGCGGGTACACATTAAATTGGTAAATTGTCTTATGTCTCCAGACGTCATATTAGTAATGATAAAAATTTAATCATCGAGTCATTTAAATGTCTTTATATTACGTTAATATACACATTTTCATTAATCCATCCATGAATTTTTTTCAAAATTATAAAAATAAACACGATGCAAAACATATAAATAAGATAAATACACCCCACAGTAGAATAAAAAAAACATAAATGTGAGATGGGGTAGCAGACGACTTGCACAAGTGACGCCATATTAGAATAATAATAATAATAATAAAAAATACTCACCGAGTCTCATTAAATGTCGTATATTACGGTAATATACACATTTTCATTAATCCATCCATGATATTTTTTTCAAAATTATATAATAAACACGATGCATAACATATAAATAAGATAAATACCCCCCACAGTAGAATAAATAAACATAAATGTGAGATGTGGTAGCAGACGACTTGCACAATGACGCCATATTAGAAATGATAATAATAATAACAATACTCACCGGTCTCATTAAATTTCGTATATTACGTTAATATACACATTTTCATTAATGCATCCATGATATTTTTTTCAAATTATATAATAAACACGATACATAACATAAAAAGATGATAAATACACCCCACAATAGAATAAATAAACATAATATAAGATGTGGGAGCCACATAACTTGTACAAGTGATGGCAAGAATAACATTTTCTCTAATCTAACATAAGAGAAAATGTGTTACTGGGGGTAACTGTAAGAAAAATTATTCCTTTCGTATGTATGTAAGTAAGTTTATTCAGGTATACACAAATACAGTTACATAGATTATCATACATAACATACGTGTAGAGAACCTAGGATAACCCAAAAAAGTCAGTGTGACTTATTTCCATTGCCTTCACTCAGAGCTTCATTTCTTCTCAAAATGATGTTACATGAGAATGGGAGTGTTCTTCTTTATTAATTCTACCGTATCAATGTAGAGACAACCTGTACACAATGTAACTTGTACACAAACCAGACGTGTACACTTCGTTTGTTTACAAAACTTACGTTCGCCTGGTTTGTTTACATAACTCTGCGCCTGTCCCCTCTCATGTACTCATTCTTTCTCTCTCTCATTTATTCGTTTTATCTCATTTACTTACTCCTGACCCTACATTAAGACTACAAATATTTTAAGGTAAGTAATGAGTGAACTGTATATACATTTTATCGCTCTGGGATGCTTAAATATCATAGAATAGTATGTGTGGGTGGGGTGGCCTGGTAAGGTAGCCTGGCTATTACCATACGTACCACACTTGATTTCTTACAATAAATACTACTTGTCTCACCCTAGATTAAGACTATAAATATTTTAAGGTAAGTAATGAGTGCACTATGTGTGTATTGTACTTTTTTATTGTTTTTTGATGCCTGGTTCTATTGCTAACTTAATATATGTTAGTGTAAACTTGTTATCTAGTGTTTGTATGCATTTATAAGTGGAAAAATAGGGTGTTCCACTTTACGGCAGTTTCCGCTTTACGGCGGTAGCCTGGAACCTAACCTGCCGTATAAGTGGGGCCCTCCTGTACTGTTTTCCTTGGAATCACAATAAATTTTACTGCATATTAAAAAATAGAAATTTTCAATCAAGAATAAATAAATTTTCAACCATCTTACTTTCACAATATAGTTCAGTAAATAAATTTTGATAAATCATATTAAGTTTCCTTGCAGCTAAATTTCTTTATCGAAGCAAATTATTTTGATAACAAAGATTTTCAAAATTTATCAACATGGATTACTAATCCATAGTATCCAAATACAAAAGTGCATTAGCAGAGGTTAATGGCACAAATAAACTTGCATGAAGGAAATAAATCACAAGGTAAGGATACTGTATATTTCAACCAACAACAGTCTGATGACCTCAGTTGTAGGTAAAAATTGCTTTTTCTTAGTTTATGTTTTTCATGTGACTGTGTTAAGTTAGGTATTCTAATATAACTTACATCTATATTTTTCTTCCAGATGTCCTCTACAGAGACATACAAGTCCAATCTTGAATGAGAGCACTCTCATCTGTCCTGTTCTCTGGCTATCATACACATTCAGAAGCCAGTTGAGGCAAAGATCCATTGCTAGAGTTGTGTTGACATCAGGATGATCAGCTGATATATTGGCATACAGAGCAGAAAGCACCACCACCATGTCGCCAACATCGATCAAGCGGTCGTTTTGGCCTCGTAAACCATGTTCATCAAATATGTCTGTGGCCATCTGCATTTTTGCACGATCCACTGTTAAAAACAAAACTTAAGATAGAAAACATGTACAGTCACATACACACATTATTAAAAAAGTGAGTAGAGTAAGAGATGGCAGAATAACAATGCTAGAATGGTAATGCATTTTCTTAAAAAATAAAATAAAAAGGAGAAATTTTCAACAAACTATCTAAACCACTTTTAAAGAGCAATCATATTTTACTGGCAATAACTAATGTTGCTAATTACAAATTTGGAGACAAAGAAAGGTAAATATGATGAACAGTAATTCAGAAAATTTAAATGAAATAAATTAATACAACCTATGCAAAGTGCTCTGCAGAATGTATAAAAATCAAACCTATCACTTTAATCCAAAAAGGAGAAAAACTAAAATGATAAAGAACTGTTTAGTGGGAGGTGGTTTTCAGGAAAAAAAAACCTGAACCAATAGAGGAAGCATGACAATTTAGTGACATTAAATTGAGCAACACATGAATAAACAGATGTAAGGAGGAAAAGGGCTGTAAAGAAGCACTGTGTGTCAGTAGAAATAGGAAAATCTATCCTGAAATAGGTCCTTGCAATATGATGGCCAACTAACAGGAACTTTGACTATTAGTCCAAAGTCTTTTACCGGCTTACAGGTACACCTCATTAGAAAATGAAATACAGTACTCTCATAGAAAATTTTATTAAAAGAACAATATTCGCATTTCTTTTCAACAAATACATGTACTACGAAGTTCTGACTGAACGGACGCACTATTAACTTTTAAAAAAGATGTCTAAGACACAAAAAAAGTTTAAGAACATTAAGAAAGAATGAACACTGCAGCAGGCCTTCTGGGCCAGACAAAGCAGGTCCAAGTCACCTACCAGCTTAAACCACTGACCCAGCCTAGTCAGGTCCAACTTACACCCACTCATGTATTTATCTAACCTATTTTTAAAACTACAGAACATTTTAGATTCTATGATAGTAGTCGGGAGTTTGTGGCACTCATTCACAACTTACCCAGTGCTTTCCTATATCCTTCCTGAATCTGAATTTTTCCAACTTGAAATCATTGCTGCGAGTCCTGTCTTGGCTAGATATTTTTAGCACGCTATTTACAGTCCCTTTATTTATTCCTGTTTTCGATTTATACACCTCAATCATATCCCCCCTAATTCTATGTCTTTCTAGAGAGTGCAGATTCAGGGCCCTCAGTCTATCCTCATAGGGAAAATTTCTGATACATGGGATCAATTTTGTCATCCTTCTTTGTATGTTTTCCAATGCATTTATATCTGTTCAGAAATTTCTATGACCTCCAGAAAGCTGGCTGCTGACTCTGGCTTTCTGGCATATACTATAGTAACCCTCTAAACCTCAAAAGACCACCCACAACAATCAGCTGAAAAAAATATGATGCACAACTGTCTACTACTAAGTGGTTACATAGCCATCCCTATGCATTTCTATATCAACAAGCATGAGAACAAGGATTTTCAGACAGGATAAAATTCTCCCTTGTCACTCTTATAAACATGAAAAATGGATAGTGAAATGTATGAGGGGTGTCCACTAATAAAACAGATCACTCACAGTCATGTACTGCTCATGGAAGCTGCATACCCACCTCCAAACACTTCTATATCAACAAGCAACAGCAAGAGTAACAAAAAATTAAAAGGTAGGGTAAAATTCTTTCTTGTTACTTTTTTTAGCATACAGTGGTACCTTGACCTACGAGTTTAATTTGCTCCGTGACCGAGCTCATAACTCAAAATGCTCGTATATCAAATCAATTTTCCTCGTTGAAATTAACTGAAATGTCATTAATCCATTCCAGCGGAATTCCTGGCTCTCAGGAGGCAGGAGAAAATACTTCAATATAATGCTAATATCAACTCTACGGCTTATTTATCAATCACAGTCAATCTAATATGACATAATAAACAATATAAATAACATAGAAACACGATATATACTCTAGAATGAATAAAATGTCATTATGTGATGAGTGGTAGTGGCCACTCCTGAGGTAAAAGTAATTATCACTCTGATCGTATCTTCCCATTCTTGCCCTTCTGAGGTCTTATTATAAGAGAAAAGGGAATGTTTGTGAGGCTAACTGCACTAGATCACTAGTTTCATAATTAAAACAGTGAAATAAAAGCAATTTCTTGTGTTTTTTATGATTTCATGCTTTAATTCAATGGACATCATCCTTTTCTTTCTCTCAGCACTGTCCTTTGCACTTACTTTCTTAGGACCCATGGTTAGAAAAAAGAAATTTGGCAAAATAACTGCACAAAATGCTGGGTGGATGTTGTGGTGTTCGCTGCGCCAATTACTGGTCGAGTATCTGAAGCTCACTCGTAACTCGGATTTTGGCTTGCAACTCAAAGCAAAAAATTGACTGATCAACAGCTCATAACTTGGAAAACTCTAAAGTTTGGGCACTCGTAAGTCAAGGTACCACTGTATTTTAAACTGACAAGATTGTGCATTAATTAAATTAATAATAGTTACTAGTGATGCATTAACCCTTTAGGTGGCTATCATGTCAGATGTTTTCTCAGATGGGTTTTATGGCTATTTCTTGGTATCTGATAGAATGGAAGACATAGTACTGAAATAAGAGATGATTTTGGTTGGTTTCAGGAGCAAAAGTAGCTTGAAATTAAGCTCAAAGCAAAAGAAATATTTGATTTTCCCAAGAACAGGTAAGGGCCCCATACACTCCCAGTCTGTTTTATGGATTTTTAATAGCTCCAATTTAATTATTTGGACACTGTAAACCATGATCAATTATTCCTCGTTATATTTTATTATCCAAGAAAAAAAAAAGAGTAAATCTTGTTATGTGATTATGAATTCAAAATGGAATCAAGTGTAATACAGGTGAGGCCTGGAGATGTGATTACCCTTTCAGGGTCCATGCCGTAGATCTACGCCATGAGCTCGGCTCACTCTGATAAGCTGTGAATGGTATGTTTTTTATAGCTGTATTTGCGATTTCTTGGTCTCATTTGATAGAATGGAAGACATATTACAGAAATAGAGATGATTTTGATTGGTTTTAGCACTGGAAATGGCTTGAAACTGAACTCAAAATAGCGGAAATGTTAAATTTTTGCCGATGTTCAAGAGTAAACAAACAACCTCACACGTCTAATACACGCCAGCTGGTGGGTCTAATATACATTCACAAATGTGGTGATGATATACAATTATTACAATATTGCATAACAGTAAGTCTTCTATTTTTTGGTTTGAATAAAAATTCATCATGTGAATAAAAAGTCAAAATGGAATTCATTTGTAAAGCCTCAAAACGTAACTGATGAACAGAGGAAATGTTAGTTTAGTGTCAGAAATACCTACATTGTTTATTCTGGACCCTATTTTGAAATTGGAATATTTTGAAGTTTGTGTTAAATTGGCCAAATTACCTATTTCCAATCACTTTATTTTGTAGTTGAAACAGTTGACTTAGCGATTTCTTATGCTCAATTGATAGAATAGAAGTAATACTAGTGAAATAGCTAAGAATTTGGTCAACTAGAATAATGTAATTGGCCTAAAATGGGAGTCAAAGTCGGCAAAATTGCCAATTCGTAAATATCGCTGACACGTCAAAATTCGCAAGAGCATAATTTCGTCAAATCTCCATCAAATTTCGTACTTTTTGTTTTATTACCTTCAGAAAAAGATTCTCTACTATTTCGTAAGAAAAAATAAATTTTTTTTTTAAATTCTTGGACCCTGGTGTGCATTTTGAAATTTGGCCTCTGGACCCTGAAAGGGTTAATGAACAGAGGAAATGTTATTTTAATGCCAGGAATGTCTACATTGTTTATATTAGACTATTTTTAAACTGATATATTTTTTAATAGTTTGTAAAATCAACCAAATTTTTTTTTAAGTGGACACAGAGCAATATTAATTTTGGGGGTCTGGACAGTGAAAGGGTTACAACCAGAATGTTTAAGCCAAAAAAAAAAAAAAAAAATTAAAGGACAATGATCAAAATGACTTTAGTGGAGGTAAATATGCGAAGTATAATACACTGCAATCTCTGCAAAAAGAAAAGCAAATACAAGAGGATGAATAAAACAGAAAAAGTTTACTGAGCTGTATTAGGAAACCTAAAAATACATAACATCAGTATATAGTCATTTGATTATCATTTCATTATTAATGAATCCATTTTTGTATTGAATTAATGTGCATCTGGAAATAAGTCAGGCCATGTTAATCCATGTACTTTTCCAGGCTTCTCCCGCTTTTGAATGCTAGAGATCTGGTGGTCTGCTATCTCATATTTCAATATCTGCCAAGCATTTTTGAACAGATTACTTGGCCACTATAAAACAGGGATTTCGTGCTGTCTCGCCCAATCCTCAACTTTTTTTTTACTGTGCTGGCAGGGGGCTGCGTCATGTGCAAAGGTGCTTGTGCCATATACATGTATAGGTAATGAGTGAGAATTTTCTCCATTCATCATATCACCCTGGGGCAGAAAATAAAGACCACCATTATTACTAAAACACCCCTAAACACTATTACTACTAAAACACAGGGTATCTGACTGCTCGATTCTCAAGTGGTAGTTAAATCTTGATCACATGATTGATGAACCCACTTAGATACATTCTTGATGACACAAAGTTCATTCATCACTAAACATGACTTTCCTTCAATTATCCATGATCCAATCCTAATACATAAAATGTAAAGTGAGCTTTGTACAAACTCTGAAGTGATAAGGGGTTTCCTGGCAGCCCTCTGACATGGCATCCTCAGATCCTTTTGCAGGTGATGTAGAAGGCACAGAGACACTTCTCCAAGAACATCAGGATGCTTGTTCTTCAGTTTCTCTGGTTTAGTACTTAATTGAATTATATTACTGATCTTAAGCAGTAATTGAAGGCTATAGCATATTTTCTTTCTTCTGAAGGCATCAGTGCATGGCATGGTCTTCCTGGGCCTCCCAGACCACCTCTTCCTAATGGAAGTGGTGCAATGAGGCAATTTGCTTGCAACATTTTTTAAGGTTTCAGATAGACTGTAGGATGCATCCCAGCCTCTCAGCAATATCCTTCACAGGGACTTCATCTTCCTTGAAAGTGATGACATGAGTCTTTGCCTTTACATAAAGCATTTACTGACCAGTTATGATCCATGGGAGAAGGTGTAGACAGCAGCAAAAAAAACACAATTGTGCAGTACAAAGGAACAATGGTAAGTGTGACATCTTCCTACAGGGTTAATGAGAACTATGCACTTGACTTGGGGTGGAAGCCTGATTTATGACTATATCTCCCCTCAAGGGAGGCTCCTTGATGCTGGTGAGGGACTCTTGATCTAGGGAATTGGATCTGTGCTCCAGTTCCCTGAATACCTTCCATTACCCCTCCACAGGCACTGTATAATCCTATGGGTTTAGCTTCCCCATGATTATAATAATAATAATATGACTATAAGTCACTTTCTTTAAACAGATGAAAACACAAGAAAAATGTTTGGTACTCACTTGGCAGCACTTTTTTTTTTTTATGGAAAACATTTTTTTTTTGCAATGTAAATATATTCTAGCTAGAGTATGTTTACAGAAGAGGATACTCTAGACCTATCACATTTGGATCACACATAGCTAACTTAATGGAGGATATTAAAATATCCAAAGAAATATTACAGTATATCTACTACTGGATGTTATAAGAAAAAGTAATGGGATCAGATGAGATAACATTATGGGTTTATAAAGTATTTGCAGAAGAACTAAGCTATCCAAATTATGGTTATTTTTAGGTAAATTGGTACAAATGCCAAAGACATGTATATGTAAAAATACAGGAGAGAACTATCAAAATGAATGAAACACTTGAAAAACAAAAACTGCCTAACACAGATAAGAATTAGTAGAATTTTAATAGCAAATTATTGCATGTCAAATCTATTGAAACTACTTCTGTATAATAGTCATTTGATCAAGTAATAGCACAATGTCCATGCAACTGTAATAATAAACTTACGTGCTAATTTCTTTTGTAGCATCCTTAGTTTAGTAGCTGTGCGATAAGCTGAGAACTTGATATGGTTGAACTCTGTGAGAGAGTCTAGCAAGTCCATCATGACAGGATGGTCCCAGTGGGTACTCTCCTGGTCATGGCTGAAAAATTTGCAGTTGGCAGCAAAGTTATTTATCCTAACATATCTACTACGCAATACAATAATAAAAAAATTACCTTGGTATTCTCTCAAAATTATCATATTCATTATAGCAAATTTTTGCATTATATTGTACTCTTGCTGTAAATAAACCATTGATGTTACAAATAAACTACAAGTACTGTACAAAATGGATTTTTCAATAAATTTATCTGGTATAAATTTGTATATTTGTATATAAATTGGTATATTGGCAGTTTGGAGGGATATGTTGTGTATCTTTATATGTGTATGCTTCTAAACTGTTGTATTCTGAGCACCTCTGCAAAAACAGTGATAACGTGTGAGTGTGGTGAAAGTGTTGAATGATGATGAAAGTATTTTCTTTTTGTGGATTTTCTTTCTTTTTTGAGTCACCCTGCCTCGGTGGGAGACGGCCGACTTGTTGGAAAAAAAAAAAAATTGTATATTTTATCAATAGTCCCTTCAAGAAACATTACAAGGGAACTAAATACTGAATTTAAATGTATCTTAATTAAAAAAAATCAATGCCTGTATACATATAGTTTGCCTGTATAAGATTAATCATGAGGTGAATCCCAGTTTCCTAGCCCAATAAAAAAAAACAGATTGTATAGAAATAGGAAATAAAAATATTGACCTGACAATCTGTATTCAGTAGTTTAGATTAAGAAACTGTGTAGCTATGTAATTACAGAAGTAATAACTCACTTGATGTAATAAGGCACTTTGTTGCTGGTGGTAGCTCTCTCCCATGGGGGAGAGACTGAGGATGCCAGTTGGGCTGGGGTGAGCGGAGTAACCTCCCTTGACCTACCAGCCACCTGCCGCCACCTGTCATTCACTGTTGTTTCCAATGTCTTCCATCTATAAGAAAAAGTATGCTAGTAAACCGACAATGGGTAATGCAATATCATTATTACAGTTCGTGGAAAAGTAATGGATATTTTAAAACTTTAATATGTAAAACACATCACTAGAATGAAAACCATTACACCAAAATTAGTATGGTAAAAAGGGTGCTTCTCATCCAAAAGCAGACATAAGATTATGACATAACTTTCAAATTTGTTCTCTCTATAGTTAAGCAATTGGAGTTTCTCACCATTTTACATTATGTTTTTTCGTTGCCCACTGGAAGACTTGTACAGGGGTAATTTTCATGCTAATGTTAGTATAGTTTGCAGACTATATTAACACTAATATGAAGATTATCTTTGTAGAGGTCTTCCAGTTGGCAAAGAAAAACAACTGTAAAATGGTGAACTCAACTGCTTGATACAGAGAAAACAAAGAATTCAAAACAAATACAGAATGCATACAGATTATCACAAAAAACAAAATATATATGTGAAAGATTTGTACTGTTAAAGAATACAGCACAGCTACAGCAGCAAAGGCCAAGAAAATAATAGGGTGGTTCATGAGAACTTTTAAAACAAGAAAAATTGCATATACAGTGGGACCCCGGATTTCATCCGCACTAGATGAAACACGATTTGGATTTCGGCCACTTTTTCGGCAAAATTTTGCTCTGGATTTCGTACCTCGTCCCGGAAATTGTCTGTATCAGACGCGTCCCCCTGGGCCGCTCATATGTTCATGACTCACTCTTAGGCACATTCAATGTCTTACTTTACATTAATATAGATATTTTCATTAATCCATCTATGATAATTTCTTCAAAATTATATAAGAAACACATTACATAGCATATAAACATACAATGTTATATGCTATCGAGGGGCGAGTTGGTGGAGGGAAAACATTACATTTTCTTTGGTCCAGCGTTAGAGAAAACTGTATGAATCTGCGTCTGGCCCAGTCACCGCCCTTAACACACTTTACATAACATAAAGCTTTAGTTTACAATTCTCGGCATGAATTGTTCATTATTTCTCCCTTTGTTTATGGTGGCATCTAAAGGTAATTAGAAACGATTAAACTCAGTGAACATGGTATGTCGATGGTAATAATATGGCTGTAGGCTGCAGTATATGTAGCAGGCAGGCATAGCCCAAGCAGATGTAGTCTGCCTGGGACTACAAATAAATATGTACTACTCACCTCTCACCCTACATTAAGACTACAAATATTTTAAGGCAAGTAATGAATGTACTGTGTATGTATTTTACTTTTTATTGTGTTTTAATGCCTAGTTCTATTACTAACTTAATGTAAGTTAGTGTAAACTTGACAGCCCTATGCCTGTTGTGAAATCTATTGTCGCTTTGGGAAAGTTCATGGGGTTGGATGTGAGTGACCAGGATGTGGAAGAGTTGGTGGACAACCACAGGGAAGAGCTAACCAATGAAGAACTGCAACACTATAGTTATTCTCTATAAAATTTATTTTTTGTTAATATTTTTGGGTATCTGAAATGGATTAATTGGATTTACATTATTTGTTGTGGGAAATATTGCTTCGGTTTTCATCCGTTTCGGATTTAAACCAACCTTCTGGAACAGATTAATGATGAAATCCGGGGTTCCACTATACAGTGGAACCCAAGATGCTGGCCAGTTCGGATTTCGGCAGCTTTTTTGGCCGAAATTCTGTCCTGGATTTCTGCCGGTAACTCAAAAATCGGCCGTATTGGACGCATCCACCCGCCACTCCACCGCGTTTGTGAGTCAGTCTGGCTGTGTGTCAGGGTGAGTGAGCAACACTCTGTGCATTCATCCAAACATTTCGTTATAATCCATTGTTTTTTGTGGTTGTTTGAGTGCAACTGCGAAATAAGCCACCCTGGGCTTAAAGAAACACGTTATATAGTACGTATATAAAAACATGCAATGTTTATATGCGAGGTATGTTTAATAATAATCACTCTTGTGCACATTAAATGTCTTCTTTTAGGTAACTGTGAATCTGGCATCTGGCCCAGTCACCGCCCTTCATACGTGTTTATTTACAATTTTTGGCAAGAATTATTCATTATTTCTCCCTTTGTTTATGATTAAACTCAGTGAACATGGTAATAATATGGCTGTGTAGTGTAGCCCAGGGGGGCTACATACGTGTCCCTACGTTAAGACTATAAATATTTTAAGGGTATTAATGAATGTACTGTGGCAGTAAATAACAAAGAAGAGAAGTAACCCCAGAGAGGGTTTTGATACCTTTTGTCCTTATGGAGGGGGATTCCCAACTCCCTCTCCCCTCCTCGCCTTCTTCAATATGCCAACAAGAGTCTTCATTAAAGGTATGCTACGTTCATTTATCATTAAAATTTGAGCTTTATATTTATTTCTCATTGTTTTCTATTGGAATAAAACTATAGTTATAATATTATAAAAAATGTATTTTTTGTTAATAATTTTTATTGAGTTTTGGAAGGGACTAATTTTTTACCATAGTTCTTATGGAAGTAATTACATTTGGACCCCCAGAATAACGTCATTGGAATAAGTAATATTCAGAATAAGTAACTATAAGTAATTATATATAATGTGAATGTCACTGAACTCGGTATAAGTCATTCGTGTCGGGGCCTGAGCTACCCAGTGTGCCATTGTTTGCCAGCCAGTGAGGACAATCCCACGCGTTCATACAATACATTTTGTTTTATTCCATTCTTTTTAGTGCTTGTAACTGGTAAAATAAGCCACCATGGGCCAAAAGAAAGCTTCTAGTGCCAGCCAAAGGGCTGGGAGAGAGGGGAGAATGTGCCTTTTTCACTGATTCTGCAATATGCATGATACTAAAGCAGCAGGAGTCTATAAAGGCTATAGTGTCAGCCAGCGATAAAGTGTAACATTAACTATAGCAAGTAAGCAAGCGATTAATCGATAGAAAAAGGACAGCACGACCCTAACTCCTCCAATGTTGTTGGAGTTATATAGAGCGACTGACAACACTGCCGTCTCTAGTCTCTACTGCTGCTGCCACCACCACCACTATGTACGGCTTATGTCTCAGTGGCCCTTATACACTCAACAACAACAGAGCAACACTCGTGACATACTTAATGACGTATTTTATTCATTCTAGAGTATATGTCATGTTTCTATGTTATTAATATTGTTCATTATGTCATATTAGATCAATTTTGCTACATAAATAAGCCATAGAGCTGATATTAGTGTCATATTGAAGGACTACATTATCCTGTTTCCCAACACAATTCCTAACATATGCCAGAAACAGACCTTTCTGGAAAACTTTTTCCCCTCAAGGAAGGTTCCTTGATGTTGGTGAGGGGCTCTTGATTTAGGGAATTGGATCTGTGCTCCAGTTCCCCGAATTAAGCCTGAATGCCTTCCACATCCCCCCCCCAGGTGCTGTATAATCCTCCGGGTTTAGCGCTTCCCCCTTGATTATAATAATAATAATAATGGAAAACTTTTTTGAGCAATAGGGGTCCAGTGGCTCAAGCTGGTCCTAGTGGCATTAAAAAAACAAAGGAGGGAAGTAACCCAGGACAAGGACTTGGTACCTGAAGTCATTATGGAGTGGGATTCCCCTTCCAAACTATTGTAAACTCCTCCATCCTATCCCCTCCTCCTGTCTTCCATACATCACCATGTCTTCAATAAAGGTAAGTGTGATGTTATTACTGTTTTATTCTTCATGTATTATTGTTTTCTATGTAGGTAAATGTACATTTCATGTAGAAAACATATTTTTAATACGTTTGGACATCTGAAATGGATTAATTGGATTTCCATTATTTCTTAAGGGGAAAATTAATTTGGATTAAGTCAGATTCGGTATAAGACACTTTCTCTGGAACAGATTAATTATGTTATCCAGGGGTCCACTGTACTTGGGTTTTCAGCCTTTTCGGATTTAGACCGACCTTCTGGAATGGATTACGGCTGATAACTGGGGGTCCACTGTACTGTACAGTGGACCCTCGAGTTTCGGCAGCATCGACTTTCATGAAATCTGACTTTCGGTAAGTTTTTTCGGCAAAATTTGCCCTCGCGGTTCGTGATTAGACTCGTGATTCGGGACCGTCCGGTACCCGTCTGCCCGTCACCGCGCACATAAAGCCAGTCTCCCACGCCATTCACGCTCAGCGTGCCATTATTTACCAACACGTGACCATCACCCCGCGGGTTCGTATGTAATCCATTGTTTTTTGTGATCGCAACTGCTAAATAAGTCACCATGGGCCCAAGGAAAGCTAGTGCTAGCCCTTTGGTAAAGAAAGTGAGGAACACGACTGAATTCAAGAAGGAAATCATTGAAAAATATGGGAGTGGAGTACGTGTTACAGAGCTTGCCAGGATGTATGGCAAACCCCATTCACCCTAACAAAGTTGTTGCAGGCCATATTGGCAACATGTACAATGACAGTGTTGTGTCCCACTTCGGACAAATCTTAAAGAAAAGCCAGAAACAGAGCTCTCTGGACAGATATTTTGTGCGACAGGGTTCCAGTGACTCTCAAGTTGTTCCCAGTGCCAGTGTCTTTAAAAAACAAAGAAGGGAATAACTCCAGATAAGGACTTCATACCTGAAGTCATAATGGAAGGAGATTCTCCTTCCAAACAATAGTGTACACCTTCCTCCTATCCCCTCCTCCCATCTTCCATCCACCCAGAAGTCTTCAGCAAGGGTAACTGTAATGTTGTTATTTTTTTTATATGCATGTACTTGATTTCCCATTGTTTTCAGTATGTAAATCTTTATTTAATTTGAAAAAAATATTTTATTTTAATATTTTTGGGTGTCTGGAACAGATTAATTTTCTTTCCATTATTTCTTATGGGGAAAATGGTTTCGCCATTCAGCAATTTTGACATTCGGCAGGCTCTCTGGAACAGATTAATCACGAAACTCGTGAGTCCACTGTATATCGATGGTACTGCATTATTCAAATCAATCATCCTAAAGTATCTTGAATACATACTAGAATGTGCTCGCACTGTCTTTCAAGGCAGGAGAGATATCAGAACTGGAAACTGTACAGATATCTTTACTGCCCACCTTAACCCTTTAAGTTGCTGCCACTCAGAACTACTTCAATGAAGCTAGGGTCCCTCATGAAGTTCTATGACATGAGCTCAGCTCACTCAGATAAGATGTGAACAGTAAATTTTGGCCTAGATATGAGAGAATGGGTCTGCATGGTGTGCGCAGCATAAAAAAAATTCTGCCCTATGCAGTGCAGAAGGGGAAGAGTAACACTGACCATGTGTTTGACTGAAAATAATGACTTTGAGGTGTTATCTAGGATGGTTTTTATGGCTGTTTCTTGCTATCATAGAGTGGAAGACATACTACTGAAAGAGAAATGATTTTAGTCAATTTCAGAACCGTAAGTAGCTTAAAATGGAGCTCAAAGTAAAAGAAAATATTTGATTTTCCTAAGGACAGTCTGTTTTATACATTTTAATAGGTTTGATTCAATTATTGAGATGCTGTAAACCATGACCAATCATTCCTAGTTTTATTTTATTGTCTGGGAAACAAAGTAAATCTTCTATTTTTGTGTGATTATGAATTAAAAATGGAAGGAATATGTAATACAGGCGAGGCCTGGGGAGATAAATGAAAAGATGTAATGTTTTTGTGCCAGGAATGTCTACATTGCTTATTTTGCACATTTAGAACTTGCTATTTTTTTTAAATTTGCGAGAAATTGGCCAAATTACCGACTTGTGCACTTTACAGGGTAGTTATAATAGCTGAATGGGCAGTTTCTTTTGCTCAATCAAAAGAATAGAGGGCATACTAGTGAAACAGCTAAGAATTTCATCAAAAAAAAAAAAAAAAAAAAAATGACTTTATGTAGGACTCAAATTTGGCAAAATTGCTGATATGTAAATTCTGACCAGACAGCTAACTTTGCACCTGCATAATTCCATAAGTTTTCCATCAGTGAACACTGAGAGCAATATTAATTTTGAGGGTCTGGACAGTGAAAGGGTTAAATCACTAAAAAAAAAAAATACTGCCAGAAATACTGTACACATACCTCACAACATATGGAATGCATTGTCACTGTTTTAATAGCTATATCACATGAAAGTTCAACACTAGTGGTGCTCTAAAAATCACAGAACCTGTATGCATTTTTACATTAGTGGAACAGCAACCCTACATTTATTTTGAGTGAGGAGGCAAAGGGAAGATGTAGATGAAGTATACCCTGAGAGTTAAGAAACAACAGACATTAACCAAAGAAGAGGATCTAGGTGTAATACTGTATACTACAGCAGAGGACCATATCACATAGATTGGGCAGCTTATGTGAAACAATGGAGCCTCTGAGCAACTTTCAGGAAAATTAAAAACAATAGCAATACATATATGACTGACCAATGAATATACAAAACCTCAAACACAGCTCTGTTCCTGTAATCCTCTGCAATGACACCTTATTTCATATACATATACAGTACTGTACTGTTAGATACATGTCACAGTAATTTCATTCATATTACTGTACTGCTTTATTATACTCTGCTTAGTAATTATGCTTTCCGAGGGCTCTACTGTAGTACCTGTTATTGAGGTCATGAAGTTTGGCAGAGTTTGCTGGAGTCAGAGGTACATTGTGAGCAGAGAAGCGGGCAGCTTGATCATTGACATCATCAACACCCCGCTGCAGGTCTGCCAAGCCCTCACGGAATTTCTGAACATAAAAGAATATACAGTATTTTCATATACGTATTCTGAATACGTACTTCTGATAATGATTATTATACTTGTTGAAAGTCCTAAAAGCAAAGGGGTCAAAGTGCCTGGGCAACGAGAGGTAATCAAGTTTGATCCAAGGAAGGAAAGGATACACCACACCTCTAATAAACAATATATATGTACTTTCCTTTTCCCCCAAAGAAAGTTTACATGTTTTGCAATACTGAAAGCACATAAGATAATTTTAGAAAATAATAAAGTGTAATTACGTTAACTTCGTCTACAACAAATAATTCACTATAAAAATAATTCATTATTAAAAAAATGACCAGGTGTGTGAATCTTATAGGCAGTGATGCAAAATAAAGTACAGAGCTCAAAAAAAAAAAAAATGAAGGATTCAACAAGTTATTAAAAATACACAATTTTATTGATGAAATTGAATCACTCAGCTACACTTCATACTTCACGATATGTTGTATGCTAGAAATACAATTTGAACTCCATGCACAACAATATATTGTAATTACATATTAAGGTGCCTTTAAAGAACAAGGAATAGGGGTTTGAGGCAGTGAAGGACGTTTAATCCAAAGAATGTGAATTACTCTACTCTTGCTACTCGCCCCTTTCTTGTACTGTGGGAATGGTGGAGGGGGGTCACAACCCCCTCTCCATGTTGGAGGTAATTTCTCCATACTTCTTAGGAACAAATCTGATCATCCCTTTTCCTCAGGTGCTGTATGACCAAAATGGGTTTAACACTTCCCCATAAATAAATAAATATAATAATAATAATAAAAATGAAAAAAAGCAATACTGATTATTGTGATGTTGTCAAGCAATGTATGAATGCCATACTGAATAAGATGAAGTGGCAAGTTTCACCTAAAGAGCATGGGTAAATTTTGCTAAATAATCACAGCAATTTTTTTTATGCAGTAAATCTGCTAAAATCAGTCTGAACACAACAAAAAATTATGAATCACTGATTTTATGTATGAATTATTAAATAAATTTAAATTTATCTAAAAAATATTTAGTAGAATAAGACAAAAAAAATTAAAATTGAAACCTCTCATCAACAAACTCTCATAGATGAGTTTTGGACAAAACATTGGCAAGACAAACAAAAGTCCAACAATACAGTATGCTGAAGTATCAAGCTAAGTTCACTAACTCCAACGTTTGTCCAGTATTGGAGCTTTACAGCTCCTATGACTCAGGTCATCTCCTTTGTGCAAAGGAGTTAGATACTAAAATAAATATATTTGCTGAAAGCTTTTAACTAAAAATCTGGGCATACTATGTTGATATTTTACGTTCATATGAATATTTCGGTGAAAATCAAACCACAATATTACTTATCCAATACCTTGAGTAACTCGATACAGTAGTAATACCAACAGTACAAAATATTTTCATATACCAACAAGAACATCAACTGGTACCAGGTAAACCATGTCCTAAACGAAACATGTTGGGAAGATATCTTAAACGACATGGATCCAAACCAGTGCCTTGAAAGGATCAACTTCCTGGCAGCTGAAGCATGTTCTAGGCATATTCCCCTAAGAAAGAAGAGCAGGAGTAAACTGGAGAGAGAAAGACGCTCCCTCTACAGAAGACGACGAAGAGTCACTGAGCTCCTCAGGAGTGCTAGAATATCTGATACACGAAAGGAGGTGCTGACCAGGGAAGTGGAAACTATGGAACTTAAGTTAAATGACTCTTACAGGAACCAGGAGAGACAGGAGGAGCTTAAAGCTATTAGTGAAATTGAAAGAAATTCAGAATATTTCTTTTCATATGCCAAAAACAAGGCAAATACCACATCTAGTATCAGGCCCTTACTCAGACAGGATGGGACTTACACAGATGACAACAAGGAAATGAGTGAAATACTGAAATCCCAGTACGACTCTGTGTTTAGTGAACCACTAATCAGTCTGAGGATCGACGACCTAAATGATTTCATGAATGAGCCTCAAAACTCCATAAATGTATGCCAGATTTCCGACATTACCCTAACTCCGATAGAGTTCGAAAAAGCCATTGACAACATGCCCATGCACTCAGCCCCGGGCCCAGACTCGTGGGACTCTGTTTTCATTAAGAACTGCAAGAAATCCCTCTCGCGTGCCCTAAGTACACTATGGAGGAGGAACTTGGACATGGGTGAAATTCCACAGTCACTTAAAACAACGGATATAGTCCCACTCCATAAAGGTGGCAGCAAAGCATTAGCTAAGAACTATAGACCAATAGCTCTGACGTCCCACATCATAAAAATCTTTGAAAGAGTGCTAAGAAGCAGGATTGCAAATCACCTGGATTCCCAAAATCTGCACAATCCAGGGCAACATGGGTTCAGGGCAGGTCGCTCCTGCCTCTCACAACTACTGGATCACTATGATATGGCCTTGGATGCACTGGAAGAAAATCAGAATGCAGATGTAATATACACAGACTTTGCAAAAGCATTTGACAAATGCGATCATGGTGTAATAGCCCATAAAATACGTGCTAAAGGAATAACTGGGAAAGTGGGGAGATGGATCTTCAACTTCCTAACAAATCAAACACAAAGAGTAGTGGTCAACAGAATTAAATCGGAGGCTGCCATAGTGAAGAGCTCTGTTCCACAAGGCACAGTATTCGCCCCCATCTTATTCCTCATCCTCATATCAGACATAGACAGAGATGTACATCACAGCACCGTATCATCCTTTGCGGATGATACTAGGATCTGCATGAGGCTGTCATCTGCTGAGGACGCGGTTAACCTCCAAGAAGATATAAACAAAGTTTTCCAGTGGGCAACGGTAAACAATATGATGTTCAATGAGGACAAATTCCAACTACTCCGTTATGGAAAACTGGAGGAGATAATAACTAGAACAGAGTATACTACAGACTCTGGCCATACAATAGAGCGGAAAAATAATGTAAGGGATCTGGGAGTAGTAATGTCTGAGGATCTCACTTTCAAGGATCACAACAGTGCCACGATCGCACGTGCAAAGAAAATGATAGGATGGATAATGAGAACGTTCAAAACGAGAGATGCCAAGCCAATGATGATCCTTTTCAAATCACTTGTTCTCTCTAGGCTGGAATACTGCTGTACATTAACATCTCCATTCAAAGCAAGTGAAATCGCAGATCTAGAGAGTGTACAGAGATCCTTTACTGCACGTATAAGTTCTGTCAAGCACCTTAACTACTAGGAATGCTTGGAAGCACTTGACTTGTACTCATTGGAATGCAGGAGGGAGAGATATATCATAATCTACACTTGGAAAATCCTGGAAGGAATGGTCCCAAATCTGCACCTAGAAATCACTCCCTACGAAAGTAAAAGACTGGGCAGGCGATGCAAAATGCCCCCAATTAAAAGTAGGGGCACCATTGGTACACTAAGGGAAAACACCATAAGTGTCCAGGGCCCAAGACTGTTAAACAGCCTCCCATCAAGCATTAGGGGAATTGCCAATAAACCCCTGGCTGCCTTCAAGAGAGAGCTGGACAGATACCTAAAGTCAGTGCTGGATCAGCCGGGCTGTGGCTCGTACATTGGACTGTGTGCGGCCAGCAGTAACAGCTTGATTGATCAGGCCCTGATCCACCGGGAGGCCTGGTCATGGACCAGGCCGTGGGGGCGTTGATCCCCGGAATAACCTCCCGGTAACCATACAGTTTTAAATACTCACATGGTTAATAAATGGAAATTTAAACATTAACGTTTCTCTAAAGAAAAACAAAAAATGGAACATTTTTCGAAATACTAACCCTGACGTTGTGAGCATGTTGATCTGCGAGGTTGGGATCATGAGGAATGGGTCCCCAGGATTCTGCAGTCTTCTCTGCTTCTTCCAAGCGCCCATTCACCTCCTCCACTGTTTTCTGAAGCACCCCAAGTTTCTGTAAAGAAAAGAAAAAATTAAGCATTAATTATTGAAGAATAATGTGTGTACACATTTCTTGGGTTCTTCAATTTTTACTTTTCATTACCACCTTAACTATTGTTGCTACAGGTCCACCATCTTCTAGTAGTCATATAATATAATTAAGCCATTATCCTAATATACAATGCAAAAGTGACTAAATACATAAGTTTTACGGGAGGTGGGTGATGGTAGGTTCGTATTAAATTAAGTTGAAATATGGACCCGAATCCATAAAAACGAGCTGGCTATAATAACGTGCTCATTACTCTGTAATTTGTCTATGATTGTAATCATGTCATAACGTGTTTATCATTCATTACCTTTGAAACTTGTCATGATTGTGACCAGCTCTACCTGGAGCTCATTACCTTTGTAAATTCTCATGATTAATGTGTTTATGATTCATTACCTTTGCAATTATTCATGAGTGTGACCAGCTCAACCTGGAGCTCATTACCTTTGTAACTTGTCATGATTATGACCAGATCTAGTTCATTACCTTTGTAACTTGCTCACCCCTCATGGAAGGTTCCTTGATGTTGGTGAGGGGCTCTTGATTTAGAGAATTGGAACTGTGCTCCAGTTCCCCGAATTAAGCCTGAATGCCTTCCACATCCCCCCCCCCCGGGCGCTGTATAATCCTACGGGTTTAGCGCTTCCCCTTTGATTATAATAATAATGTAACTTACTCAGCTATCAAAACTTTGGAGTCCAGTCCCTGGACCAATTATGTACCTCTGTAATCTTTTGACTACCGCCCGCAGGATGGGTATGGGGTGCATAATAAACATATTAAACTAACTATAATAACGTTGTGACTTGTAGCATATTTTCTGTGATCTGTTGTCCAAACTGTCGAGCCTAGCCACTTGTGAGCCCTTCCTATAGTACTTCAACAGCCTAAAGCTAACTGCGTTGTAAACAATGAATGTTAACCCTTACAATTTAAAATACCTCAGACTAATCGAAATTAAATTATACATTGAAACGCAATAATATGTTTTCAACTTTAAATAATTTACTTTAAAGTATATATAATTATTCATATCCTGGTATAGTAATCGACACTAATGGTAGTGTCAAGCACAGGATCTCACATCCCGGCGACCTTGGGTCGATCCAGCTACCTCTGCTTACTCGCTTGGCTGACTTCCAGTCACACGCCTCAACCTAACCTACTTATCTACCTAATAAAAACGTGGAGTATTTCGAGCTTCTATTAAAGTACTTACAACTACTGAGGGTTGCAGGTTATTTTAACTGCGTGATGCTGTTTACTTGTGCTTTATTTACACTCGTAGTGTTTTGTAAATTCACCATTCTTTACAACATGGTTATTTTGCATATTGCGATATCACCAGTTTACTATGATATTACACACACACACACACACAGTGCAAAGGTTTGCAACGAGACCAGTCACTGAGTTAAGGGGAGTGTCCTACGAAGAAAGGTTGAGGGAAATCGGAATGACGACACTGGAGGACAGGAGGGTCAGGGAAGACATGATGACAACATACAAAATAATGCGTGGAATAGACAAGGTGGACAGAGACAGGATGTTCCAGAGAGGGGACACAGAAGCAAGGGGTCACAATTGGAAGCTGAAGACTCAGACGAGTCACAGGGATGTTAGGAAGTACTTCTTCAGTCAAAGAGTCATCAGGAAGTAGAATAGCCTAATAAGTGATGTAGTGGAGGCAGGAACCATACCTAGTTTTAAGATGATGTTTGATAAAGCTCATGGAGCAGGGAGAGAGAGGACCAAGTAATCAGTGAAGAGGTGGGGCCAGGAGCTATGAATCGGCCCCTGCAATCACAAATAAATGAGTATAAATACGTGAGTACACACACAATATATATATATATATATATTATAATATGTGTGTGTGTGTGTGTGTGTGTGTGTGTGTGTGTGTGTGTGTGTGTGTGTGTGTGTGTGTGTGTGTGTGTGTGTGTGTGTGTGTGTGTGTGTGTGTGTGTCGTGCCGAATATGTAAAAGTGGTCAATTAGCCAAAACTCATTTAAAATTAAGTCCTTTCTAAAAATTTCTCTTATACGTTTAAAGATATATTTTTTTCATTAACGTTAATGCAAAAAATTATAATTTTGCTCCAAACAAATCTTAGAAAACTTACTAACCTTATTATAACAAGAACAATTTATTTTAGCCTAACCCAACTAAATATATTTTAGATTTGTTTACAGTAATTTAATACTAAACAAACACGGTGGAACATATTTTTTTCGTTAGGTTCAGAATGATTTTGGCGAAATTATTGCATACACAAATTTTCGCTTGTCCTATATAGCAAGATGAGCGTTGCTATTTAAGCCAAGATGGCAAGTTCTGCCTATTCGGCACGACATATATATATATATATATATATATATATATATATATATATATATATATATATATATATATATATATATATATATATATATATATCCTGGCCCCTCCTCTTCACTGGCCGCTACTACTATACACGCACCTAGTAGCGGCCAGTGAAGAGGAGGGGTCAGGAGCTGTGAATCGACCCCTGCAACCACAACTATGTGAGTACACACACAAAGTGCAGCTAGCCGAGCACGGCACGCACACTGCATGTAAGGCTAACCAAGACTCGTCAGTTTCCCAAGTGACTTCTCGGACTGCGAACAGCCCAAACAATCGGCCAATTATCCCGGGAACAATGCGATAATCCTATAAGGAAGGTTATCTTGACAAAATCTTTGAGCTCATCTTTGGATAAAAGTAACACTGATGCAAAACCACAGGGCAGCTCCGCCCAGGTGATCACGAGAAGGTAAGGGCACGTGTCATGGCCTGGTGTTGCCATGGAGGACGTACCAAGCTACTGTTAACACAACTAACATACAATAAGTAAATCATCTTATGATTTATTTAAAGTATGCTGGTTGCCTTAAGAAAGGGTATAAAAGCAAGAACTTATTCAAAGGTAGTCTGAATTTTATGACATCTACTGATAATTAATATGTAATGAATTTTCATTAAATTATCTTTAATGTTGAAAAGTTAGGGAGCGGACACACAGGAAGCTCAATTTAACCTATGACCTCTCAATGTGGCCTTTATATCTTATGCACGAACATGGTTCTTGTGACGATACACACGAGGTGTATAATCAGTTTAGTTTTGGAAGATGAAAAGTTAGAACTCGAATGAGAAATTAAAGAACTGATGGTCAAGTACAATACAGTTTAGTCCCGCAATATTTTAATGTTCAAGGTTGAAGCGGCGTCATAATACTGATTACCCAAGCCATTCACTATGTTAGTAGTGTCTTGTTTATCATTCAATTATAACTTACAATTTAAGTGGAGAGGGGAATTGGAGTTACTCTTTCTTGATAGTGATGTGAAGGTTCTCGACCCAAGGAATTTGAGGCACCTTTCTTTGGATTAAACCTAATTAACTGCCATTTCCCATGACCCCTACAACTTCTGGGCTTCCCCAAGAATATAATAGCTAAAAGTGTTTTTGTGGCTGCCCGATCTGAGAAAGGTATCACCGCATCCATAACACTCCCTCTGCCTTAATGCAAACAAATGTTATAAAATGCAGAACTGTTATAAAATGGAAATACAGCAAAAAATATATGTATGTGTGGTGCGCATATGTTTACAAGTACGTAAGTATACTTGTGCTTATGCATGCATGTGCTTATACTATATGTCTGCATACTGAACATTATAAATAATGTGTTTCAGTCGCTGCAATCACCGAGAAAAATATCCCCGAATCCCATAAGTTCAAGCCCCGGCAATGTAAACAAAATGACTAGTGCAGGATAATCATAAAATTGTAACACAACAACACATAATATGAATGTTGTGTGTTAATGCTGGATGGTCATAAAATTGTAATGCAGAAACACAAAAATACGAATGTATATCATCACCACAAGTATCATCACTACAAGTATCACCAAATATTGTGGTTGTAGGGTCGAGTCATAACTCCTGGTCCCGTCTCTTGACTGGTCGCTACTAGGTCCACTCTCTACCTGTATGTACGTATATATGTGTAGTTTCCACACATTTCACAGCAGACTTTGAGCAGCTCTCAACTAGTTTGTTAGAGGTTTCTATCAAGTTACAAAACAGCCAGAACTCACCACGTGGTGGCTGCTCCTCGAGGAGCAGCCACCACCACGTGTGTGTGTGTGTATATATATAATATATATATATTATAATTATAATATATATATATATATATAAGCATATGTGTACTCACCTAATTGTGGATGCAGGGGTCGAGACTCAGCTCCTGGCCCCGCCTCTTCACTGATCGCTACTAGGTCCGCTCTCTCCCTGCTCCACGAGCTTTATCATCCCTCGCCTTAAAGCTATGTATGGTTCCTGCCTCCACTACATCACTTGCTAGACTATTCCACTTCCTGACAACTCTGAAGAAATACCTCCTAACATCCCTTGACTCATCTGAATCTTCAACTTCTAACTGTGACCCCTTGTTTCTGTCCCCTCTCTGGAACATCCTGTCTCTGTCCACCTTATCTATTCCACGCAGTATTTTATATGTCGTTATCATGTCTCCCCTAACCCTCCTGTCCTCCAGTGTCGTCAGGCCGATTTCCCTTAACCTTTCTTCATAAGACATTACCCTTAGCTCTGGAACCAGCCTTGTTGCAAACCTTTGCACTTTCTCCAATTTCTTGACGTGCTTGACCAGGTGTGGATTCCAAACTGGTGCTGCATACTCCAGTATGGGCCTGACGTACACGGTGTACAGTGTCTTGAACGATTCCTTAATAAGGTATCGGAACGCTGTTCTCAGGTTTGCCAGGCGCTCATGTGCTGCAGCAGTTATCTGGTTGATGTGTGCTTCCGGAGATGTGCTCGGTGTTATACTCACCCCAAGATCTTTCTCCTTGACCGAGGTCTTTCGCCACGTAGCCTATACTCTGTCTGCGGTCTTCTTTGCCCTTC